TCCTGTAGATACTTGGATTCTAAGCTGTTTAGAGCTTTATAAGCCACTATCAAAACCTTGGATCAGGCCAGTAGCACATTGCAGCTAATGCTGTGCTTTTAAGATTGGTGTTACATGCTCCCATCCCACTGCCCCAGTTAATAACTGAGCAGCAGCATTCTGCACGAGCTGAAACTTCCGGGCTATTTTCAAGGATGGTCCCACATCAATAGCCCAAACTGCAGTAGTCCAAACATGAGGTTACTACACCATGGTTTAATGATATCTCATTCCAGAAATGGCCATAGCTGTTGTAGCTGGAAATAGGCATGCCTTGCCATCAAGGACACCTGAACGTTCCTTCAGAGGGAATGCTATCCCATCCAGAACAGGCTGTCTCCCAGATTTCTGCTCATATGAACAGCCTATCCAAATTTCAGCTGGATTCAGTTGCAGTTTATTGACCCTAATTCAGTTTGCCATTGCCTCCAAACACCAGATTCACGATTCAGAAAGAATGGAGAGCTAGAACATGCTGATAACATTGTATTCCAAATCACTATGTGACTCCAATGATCTGTTTCATATATCAATTAAATAGTATGGGAACTAAGATGGAACTTGGAAATTGCCATGGGTGAAAATGAGTCTCCTAATGCTACTCTGGTAGCAACATAGTAAGTAGGAGCACAACCACTGTGACACAGTAACCCCAACTCACAGAGCGATTCCAGGAGGATACTGTGGTCCATAGCATAAAAAGTCAGAGATAGGCGTACTCTCTCTATCCCTGTCGATGGGTGAATTAGTACAGATCTATTTCAATTTGGTTCCAGCAGCACAAACAGCCTCCTCTAATTAGTTCTATTTTTCATGAGCTAATATATCATTTTTTTCTGAAATGGAGCATAATTAGAAGTGATTCCATTTTAGTATCTCAGCATGCCAGTCCAATCCTTTTGCGTACTTCAGCACCAATTAATGGATTTATTCCAGGGGAGAATGTGTCCTGTTTACTTCAATTGCTATCTGCTTGCAATAAAAAAATTCAAGGTTAATCTGCCCCAGAGGTAACAGGTTTTTGTACACTCTCCTTTCCATCATTTTTAGTTATTCCAGCCTTCTTTCATTTTTACATAAAAACTGATCAATGCCAACAACCCAACTCTGACAGGTTGGCATTAAAATGCACTCAGTTCGGAAAGCTTTCCATCCAAGACTGTTAACATTGCAGCAAAGCCGTTCAAAAATCTTCCATCAGACAGAAATAATGTTGTGTTTCCAGGCTACAAAACACTTCACTCTAGTAAAATGTTGTCTCCTTCAAACCTCCAGATCAGTCGTGTTTCAGTAACAAACAGGCACACTTTTATGGAAGAAATATTTTGTGGCAGTTGGGAGATAGTGGTGTCAAACTATCTACTGCATCTATTTTACCAATCTTCTCTAGGGAAAATTAATTGAATCTAGTGGCAAAGAGAGAAGCTAAAAAAAACCCAAAGTTCAATATGATGGAACGTACTCATAGTCCTCCTTTCAGAAAACATCTTAGGATATAGCGTTAGTAGTTACGTTTTGAGCCTACCTTTCTCCCCACAAAAACTGATATAAGAGAATGAAAAGGAAATTGCTGTGCATGTTCAAGTGTTTTGAAAAATTGGTGAGAAACAAATGCACCATATACCGTAAATAATAATCTATGTCAGGGGTCAGCAAACGTTTTCAGCAGGGGGCCGGTCCACTGTCCCTCAGACCTTGTAGGGGGCCAGACTATATTTTTTTGGGGGGAAATGAACTAATTCCTATGCCCCACAAATAACCCAGAGATGCATTTTAAATAAAAGGACACATTCTACTCATGTAAAAACATGCTGATTCCCAGACCGTCCGCGGGCCTGATTTAGAAGGCGAAATGGCCGGATTCGGCCCCCAGGCCTTAGTTTGCCTACCCATGATCTATTCTATGTCTTCCTTGTGGACACTTCTGGAATGCTTACCCTCAGCACCAGTATTTTGGATGAATTTCAAAACTGGAATAATCTGTATAGAAATCTTCAATGAGGGGCAGTCGTGAGATATGGTATAGTGGAGAGGGCTTTAGTTTCCTTCCAACTATGATTCTAATCTATATGAAACCCCTTCCACTGAAAGGGGGGGAGGCAGAAGATGGGCACTAAATGGCATTTGTGTGCTTAATATATATGGCAGTGAAGTCTCTATTCATATTTTTTAAAAACACCTATTAAAACCAGTAAAGTAAAAGCAGTACATGATTATGCAAGTGGCAGTATCAGAGGACGAGTGTTTCCTGTACAGAGACAAAGCTGAGACATTTGTTTCTGAACAATGAAAATGAAATGTTTCAGTACAGACCCTGCCACAGCAAATTACTGATATATTTCAGTTCATTTTGCTGACAGATGTCAGAGTGAATAGCAGCTCTTATGCTAAACCATCAATGGCATGCTGCATTCTCAATAATTCAGGGCACATGGTACAAGTGTACCTCCAGCAAACAGAAGCAATTGGAACGTTTTTTTAAAAAAAACAATCATGTTGTATCTGAACATGATTTTAAAATAAAAATTAAAAGGTAACAGCTACATAAAATAGTGCCTTCTGAATCTGGATTCCCTTGCAGCCATGGAGCAAAGCAGTCATTTTCATTCTGATCAGCACTACTCATTCATTTGTAACACAATCGCCACCCACTTCCAAAGGCTTGAAGGAGCTTAACATATAGTTTTCAAGTAAGCTCCCACCTAGGAAACTCCCAGAACCAAATATGCTTAATTTCAGCAGAACTGCATCAGTTGTCATCAAATCATTCTCCAGTTAGTCCACATAGTTTCATATTTTGCAATAAGCTTCAAGACTGTTTTGTAACAGTCAAGCATGGCAAGACATTTATTTTACCCCACTGAAGTGTATGAAGGGGGGAAATGGTGAAAAGGAACTCCAGAAAGCAACCAGGGATGTCTTTGTCCACAAAATTCTGGTCTTGATTGTAGCAGAATCCCCTAGTCAACAGTGTGAAATAGGCAGAAACTGACATACAAGCCCATTAGAGTTATAGGGAAATGTTTCATCCTTGTTCATAACTGAAGTTAGAATCCAAATTTAACTTTACGTCAATTTTAGAATTAGTCAAAAAATAACATTTTTTTTGCATAGGACTGTGCTGTGCACCTAACCTTCTGCACAGCATCTCTCTCTCTCAATTTGATGGTATTAGCAGTAGCAGTCATTCTGATACTGGATTTCAGTAACTTTCCAGGCAACGATACTGCCCCATGACTGGAGCTACATGCCTGCTCTTTCTCAGTGTTGTTCTTAAGGCAGGACAGAGTAAAGATGAGCCTTACACTGTCTGGTAGTTTAGGGAAACATCTTTCAAGGAGTAAAGTTGAACTACATCCTTTGAAATAGTCCGCTTTAAAAGGGGGAAATAGCTCAGCTCAGTCAAGTACTTCCTCAAAGAAAGCTTTATTGCAAAGCTAATGCTGGCCAGCAGGAAAGAAGAAACAAACACAAATGCCAAGCTCTGCTTCAACGTAATCCTTGTAACAAGAGCAAGACATTCTTACTCTGATCAAACAAATGCTCTTATCTCTGTGCTAGCAGAGAGCGAGGAGTTGGCTGGAGATGTGACAGTAGGGGAAGAGCAACGTGTGTTCAGGTGAACCAGAGCAAATGGCACATTGATCAAGATAGGATCAACCCTCAGCCCTTCTCGTTGGAGCCTGCACAACATGAACTATCCTGATAGGAGGAAACAGCTATCGCTGTATGCAATGGACAAGATTTCCCTTGCTCCATTCACTGGGCTGTTGTGTGGGACCATTTCCTCCCTGCTGCCTTGTCAGCCTGTCTGAGAAAAGCAACTAGCTCCAGTTTTCCAGAACAGGCAGCTCTCACAGCAGGCCATTAAACTGAAGCGGAGTTTGACTTGAAAAGGCTACCCAACATGGGTCTCCCAGGACCAGCTCTACCTATAGGCTTCCAGTTCTGAACATGACATTGACCATCCTCCACAAGCTCAAGACACATAGAGCCTGTTCTCTGATGTCGATCACAGGCCATAAGGTTGTCTCTTTTATGTTTAGGGAGCCTTCAGCATATGCTTTAACCACTGGTTTATCTCTGCTGTGCATTTCTAGGCTAGGCAATACAGTGGTTTGCTACACTATTAACAATTAGCAAAGTGCCCATTGTTATGATGAGCAGAGTGTCAGGGAAGAGTTAGAGGTTTTCAGTTTATAAGTTTTATAAAAGAACAAGAAGCGTTTCTGTGGTGATCTGAAGAGGACAACGACCAGTCCTGACACAGAGGATGAAGGGAAGGTTTATATGCTGTGAAGACCTGCAGAGTGGAGAGGGCTGGAATCCTCTGAACATAGATATTGCACACTCTTACACAATCTCTGCCAGCCTGGCCACCTAGCATGAAGAACAGAAAATAGGTTTTGCTCACACAGTGTCTGTGTGACACAGCACATTGTGGGGGGAACCACTTCTCCATATGGGAGTAACCATTCAGTTTTATGGGAGAAAAATAATGGGTTATATTTGGTGTCACTTCTGAAGCAGGTGTGTAATACTTGTACAAGCAGCTGGTGGGGAAGAATGGCACCAAAGGATTAAGTACCCTCTCTCCAAGCATTACTGCTCAAAAGCAATTTGGGGTAAGTGAAAAGGTAACAGGAGATCCAGTCCACAGGTCTCCTGCATAAAGTGTAGTTTGACCTCAATATCATTAGATGTCTGCTTGCCCCTTTTTTGTTTTTCTCAGTGGAAAGGTCAAGCCTGAATAACTAAGTGTTTATTTAGCAACAAACAAATGCAGCAAAAATCAGCCTCAGCTCATACGAAAAACCTTGGGACACATAAATTCACAGAAGTGGTTTCGGCTTGAGAGGGTGCGGCAGTGGTCCACAATTCAAGCAAACAAAATGTGTTGCTATAGAAACAGGGCGTTTAAAAGTAGAACACACACACAAAAATCACACCAGTAAAAGAGCTTCTATTTCCAAGCTGAAAATGTTTATGACCAGAAAAGGCAAAGTGAGTGAAGCAAATGGTGCTAGTACTTGATGAGATATTTTAGGCTGCACAGGCACTCATCATCATCATCATCTGTCATCTACCATTCATAGAAGAGGAAATGTGCTGCCTTGGGCTAGGCAGTGCTGTGTTTTAGTTAGTTTTAGTGCTCCTTAGCCTCTTTTCTGCCATTTGGTGTCTATGGCACTTGCAGTAGCACATCAGGTGACTTGGCCAAATTGATCACTCAGGCTGTTCTCTGAACAAGGTTAACAGGAATGGATGGAATGGTGCCAGCCTGGCAGTTTGATAAAAACACACGAGTGATTTCAAAGGAATTAATCTGATAACACAAATGCTTGAAAAGCAAGAGCAGTGGAAGTGGTAGAGAAGCTGGAGAACTAGAAAGTCTGGATTTACTACTTAGAACCAAGAAGCATCCTCACTCACCCACCTCAAAGTGGCTTCCTTTGCTACAGAAGTCATGCCTTAGTATGAAGCCTTAGCAAAGAGCCATTGCTTCTCCTGTGCTTACAGTGCCATTTTCCAATTCCTGACCAGCGGGACATATCCTTATGTGTCTTCTGTTGTTGGCCTTACAACACGGCTTCAACAAGAACAATCCCTGAAAACTGATCAACCACACAAGGAGAATTGTGGGGTCGTTCTGCTAAGTGGGCCACACAAACACATTCAATTCTACAGTTTGAAGAGAAATAGAAGCTATAAACTCTGAACAGATACATATTGTATCAAAATGTCATGTTTCAATTTGGGGCAGTGAAGAATCATGATAGCATTCAGAGACAGATGGGTTTTAGAATTTAAAAGAACTAAAAAATAAAAATTAAAAAATAATTGTGCACACATTAACTCTTATTCTAAAGCTGAAACAGTCAAGAGCCCTTGACAGATGGCAACGTCTTACAAAGTTCCTTCTAGGAACACATCTTCAGTGGAGTGTTTCTTACAAATATAACATCTTGATCTCGCACAATATGAACAGCATACACAACTCATCCATCAGTTCAATCTTTAATTAATGGAAGGATTCTGTATACCTTCTGTTCCAATAAATTCTTGTTTATAAGCAAATTGCCATAGAAACAGCTGCAAACTATATTTGAAATAAGCAACTGGAGTTTTCCCCCATTTCATATATAGGTTACACTTCTCATTAAAATAATAAAGCCTATGTTGATTGCATATCTTCATGCACAGTGCCTCAGTCCAAAGGCAGCATTTGAAGGAAGACTTTTTAAACCCAATGTGTGGTACCAATATAGAAAGCAGTGATGGGGGCTATGCTTCTTGGTGGTGGCTCAGTTTACAGTGCTCAGAGGATGCTCACTCTAATGGGTAACCTATGACCACTTAGATGCTGTTGGGACTAAAATTCCCATCAGCCAAAGCCAGCATGGCCAATAGTAGTGTAGTCTAACAACATTTGGAGGGTTATAGGTTCTCTATCCATGCTATAAGTATGGAAGAGTTGGGACTTAGACATATTCAAGAGTTTCCTCCCTATTGCAAAGGGTAGGCTTAGGGGGCAGAGGACGAGGCTGATTTTGATAAAGCATCTCCTCCTGCCATGTTTTCTATTCCCTCCCCAGGCTCTATTGCTTATTTTAAATTAGCTGGGCCAAACTATGTAACATACATACCTTCTAATTTAGCCCCTAGTATGGACGCTAAAGCAATCCTTACACCAGGGTAGTGAGCAAGGTGCTCTCCAAATGTTGTTGGACTGCAACTCCCATTATCTCTGACCCTTGGCCATGCTCACAGCAGCTCATGGGCATTGTAGTCAAAACAACCTCTGAAGGGCACCAAATGGGCAAACCCAGCCCCATTAGGGGAAAGAAGTGACACAAATGAGCCTTGGATCCTAAAGCTAAGAGTTCACAGAAGGAATGTTTCCTGTCCCAAACATCCCCATAATCCCATCCTACACTGTTCAGGTGGGCCCATGAACCTCCTTTTCAAGATTTCCTTCCATAGAATCTTCATTAAGGTAAACTAATCACAGTCATAGATTCTAGCCTACAAGTACTGCTGATTCAATAATTACTGTGGACAGTATTTAGACAGGGGTAATGCACAGCCAATGAACAACTAACACCTATAACCACAAGGCAGTAAGGAAAAAAAGCTGGATAACTTCATTGCTACCACTGAATTGGTAGTGAAACATACCCCTAAGCAGCAGGAATAGATCAAAGCAAGCATAAAGTAGGTTGGAATCTGCAGGCAGATTTCTAGGTAATCCAAAGATCAGCAAGGGTTTCTGGCTTGTCATGGTAAAAAGCCTTTTTTCCACCCTAAGTGAGGTTACTGAAATCAAGGAAGCTTTGGGAAACAGGAGACAATTTACCTGTGAAAGGGTATGTATGTGAGCGCAGGCACTGAAAACCAATTCCTAGGCTGAGTATGTACTCAGATCACTTTATTCTACAATTCTATGCCTGGCACCATTTTGCAACTGGTTCTCATTGGTGGCAGTCAGGGTTCTATTGGCAAGCAAAGCAAGATTCTGCAAGAATAAAAGCTACCTGCCCCGACATAGACTGGTCTTGGTGGATCATTCCCAAATCTTACAACCTGCCAATTATGTGTTGCCTTTGAAAAGTATACTGAATGGATCCCAAAAAGAGGGTGGGAAGCAGTGCTTTATAGATAAGCAGTATAAATCCTTGCTTCCCCCAAACCACTATGGAGCTGTGTATTCATTCCACTGCTGTGTGAGATGCATTTCAGTGCAAACAGGCAATTCTTGCCACTTAGCAGCATCTTCAATGCCAGGGTATTCTGAGTAGACATACAGAGGGGTTTTTTGAAGAATGTGCTGTAGGATGCTCCTAGGAGAGGCCAGGACACTCTCCAAATGCATTAGAATACATTTGAAAATAAAGTTGAGATAGTAGGAATTTTTCAACAATGTATCACTGGGGAATTTAATGGTTTCAGGAGAGTCAGTTCTTTATACTGTGCTCACATACACTTCAGGTTTTTGGGAGACAGGCCTTATGTGTGCTACTGCAGTACCTCAAGTTGTGCTTTGATTATTCCCTCTGGGGTTAACTGAGAAGATTCTTATTCATATAACCAATTTTTATGTAGCACAGTACAAACAGAAAGCCCAAATGTAGTCATTCTCCTCCGTCAGGAAAATCCTCTCTCAGCTTGCCTGAGGGAAAACTTGTTAAAAGTGGTGCTTGCAGATTAGCAAGAACTCAAGATATTTGATTCAAACCAGTCATACTAAAATTAATGCTCTACAGGGAAATTTGTTTTTCAATAAAACAAAAATAGTTTACCACCAAGCACTACACATTAGCAAACAGTACTAGAAAAAGGCATCACTCATCACTGGGAACTTGCGACTGTTACAGGCTCTCATTATAGCAGCCTCTTTCTTCTCTCCCTTCAAATGCTGGCATCATAATACTGAACTGAAATCAGGCTTGTCTCACCCAAACCAGCATTAATCTCTGGCCTCACAGCAAGAGCACAGTACCACAGAACATTTCATTCATGTGCGCATTGCCTCAGAGTCTGAATACATTGTCCTAAATGTCAGATTTACGCGGGCTTCCCTGGAGTGATATTCCTTGGGTACGCGATGCTGAAACAAAGAACCAAAACAAAGTTAATCTGCTACCCATACACAAAACTTTACTCTAAGTATATACAAAAATATCCATATTCTTGTCTATCTCACAACTTCAGTCTGGACTTACTTTTAAGGCTAAATACTTTTTCAAAGCTTTTTAAAAAAATACAAACAAAAGCTCAATTTCATTTTGCTTTGCTTTTTGAAAGTTATTTCTCCAATATTAATATTTGTTATTGCCACATGAGATTGCCACGCAGTGCTATTTAAGCAAAGTGTTACGAGGTTTCTATCCCACTCTTACTGGTTTATCAGAAAGGATATTATAAAATTATAAAGTAAGATCTCGGAGCTTTTTGAATTGTTGACTGTTCCATAAGAAGCAGTCCAATTCCATAGGAAACAACTCTCCATAATTCCCACTCCTGAAGACGTTTTATTTGTTCGTTACCTTTCAATCTTAGGTTCCCCAATGATTATGCCTTGTAGAAATCCAGGGGGGAGAAATGGCATCCAACCCCGGGGAGTTCAGGGGGAAGGTGAACTATTTCCACTTATGTTTAAACAGTCTCACCTGCCAGTCTTCTTGAGCTGCTCCTTCCATCATAAGCAGCGTTCCATGATCCAATGGTATATGCACCCTCTGCACATAAGTAAAGTCGTTGTTTTCTTCCTGAAAAGAGAACATTATGTACAGCCAGTGTATAATTAACAGTTGAGCGAGGTTAGCCTGAGAGATAGAAACTTCCCAAGGTGTCCCAGCAAGTTCCATTACTTAGAGGGAATTTGAACCTAATCCATGGTTCCTAATCCAACATGCTAACCGCTATACCACACTGGTGTATCAACTACAGGCAACTCCCAATTTACACAGGGTTTATGTTCTGAGGCATCGCACACATAGATTTGAAACACCATTGGGAAAGCCTGCAAACACCCTCTAATGCCATGGAAATTCTTGAAGAACCCTTGAAAAAACCAGCAGCACTTACCAGACCACCAAACTCCACCATAATCGCTCCCTCCAAACCTCTTTTCTCAAACTCTTAACTCTCCACAAGGCCTCAAAGGTTGGTGGAAAGCCTCTCAGGATTGCACTTGCAAAGGCTTTCCTGACTCTTTTAGGGCCATTTTTGCTATTTTTAATGTCACTTCCGGGTTCGGCACAATGCACACGTCAAGTGGATGCACCTACATTGGGAGCTGCCTGTATATCAAGTCTTGCTGCGTGTGGAGAGGGTAACTCCATCTCATCAGGTGGAATGTTAGGCAGAGATGGAGAAGCTGTGGCCCCCAGGTTTGTTGGTCCACAACCCCCATCAGCTCCACCCAGCATGGCCAACATTCAGATCAATTGTTTAAGGCACTAATACTCCACACTTCAGTCAAAAATGGTTCTCGGGGCAGTTTACCAAAACCATGATTGAGGTTGTAGCTCAATGACATCTGAAGGAACACAGGTTTCCCTACCTGATCTAATTCTCAGCACTGCTATCCACTTTTTTTTACAGTTAACCTGCTGTACCTAAATGTATCTGGCCCTGTTTTTGACTTACTATAGTAATCTTTTTCAAACAAGGTTTTGCTCCAAGGAATCTTGAACATTATCTGGAGTTCTTGAATGAGAAGCTCAGCAATGGGGCTTGGAATCTAACAGCATCTGGATGTCTGCAGGTTCCCCATTCCTGATCTGTACCAGTCCTTGGGAAACAGCAGGCACAAAAACATGTGTTTTGGAAAAGTATATCTGGGTCAGATGTAGTATGTTTGGCACAAAACCAGATAGGGAGAACTGGCAAAGACGAAAGTTACCATTTTTTGTTTGACAGAAAATCCAAAGATCAAAGAGTTGAATATGATGCTGGAAACAAGCAATGGATCACATGTCCCATGAAAACCTGAAACAGCTGCCTTTCACAAACTGAACTCGGGGGATAAACAATGGCATTAACACAAAGCAGGGCTACAAGTTTACTGGGTAAAATCTAGCAACTGGCCTGGACAGGGGGCAGAAATCAAGGAAAATGAAGGCACTCTTTGAAATTCATGTATTTATACCATCCACTTGATGCTTAAAATGCTTTAGAAACAGTCAGGACTGGGTTTCTTACAATGGCTACCCACATCTCCAAGAACCTCAGGAGTATATACTTCCACTGTTGAAAGCTGGGAGACCAGGGTTTAATCCCCACATGGCCATGAAGCTCACGTGGTGACCTTGGGCCGGTCACTGTCTCTCCACTTAACCTACCCTACAGGGTTGTTGTGGGGATCGACTGATGTGTGGGAGAACCATGTATGCCACCTTGAGCTCCTTGGAGAAAAAGGTGGCATATAAATGTAATGAACAAATAATTAAAACCAACCTGTACAGTGGAGACATGATGCTGGCGATGGAAAGGGTGGAAGCATTGGGGAAAGATATACGGCTCTGTATATGTGTGATACAAGCAGAGGTATAGGAGCAGGCTAGCACTGCCAATTCTATTGTGCTCCTCCCAACATATATATCTCAGGCTATTTTTTGTTGAGTTTAGGGTCAGCATAACCCTTAATTGGGGCTAGTGTTGATTAATGAAAGTCAACAATGAAAGAGTCATCAACGATGCATGATCTGGCCCAGAAGAAGGTTGCCAACGTGCTGTGCAGCACAGACTTGGCTGGATGATGTGTCTGAGCAAAACAATTGCCCAGATGGCTTTGGCAGGATATTCTGTCAGGCATCAATCAGGGGGTGGGAGGGAGGCGGAGCAGCAGTCATCTAAGAAAGCAATTTAGCTGACATAGGAAGCACCTAGTGCAAATTTTATCCAAAATGACTGCATCCCTGTAAGAGAGCAAACCAGCCAGGCTCTCCATTTTTGCACTGTTATCATGCATGCATTCTATTACTATTACCCACAAGAAAATCACCATCACCACCACCACTTATATCCTGCTTTTCTCCAAAAGTGCTCAGAATGGCAGACATCTTCTCAAGTGGCTTACAGGTATACTTCATCTAAAGTGTGAAGATAATTTTTCCTTAGTGGCTGTTGTGACTAAGAGGGAAGGGAGAGTACGATACTATTGTTAATAAACTATATAAGTGGAGACTGTATGGAGTCAAACCCATTTTTCTTTGTTATTCTTCTTATGACCCTCCAATTCTGAGTTAAGTGTTATTGGGTCCAAGTTTCTGTGTGGAGTGTGGTGGTTTTCCCCCAGTTGGAAGCAGCCACTTGTCTTGTTGCTGTCATAGGAAAGACCATCAACTCTTTATGCTTGACATTTGGATTGATACCATTTTCCACTGATGGCAGGGCTAACATGGGATTGGGCACAAGATGTTGCTCCATAATAGCAGATGACAATGAAAAAAATGCAAGTCCAGAAATCCTCCATCATTATATTAATTCACCCTAGAAGCCTAGGCCCTTCAAACTGCCCCATTTCTTCCTTTACAGGGAACCCACAACAACTTTCCCTTTTAAGGCATCAATCCGGGAATAAGTTCTAGGGAACACATGGAACTTACTTCTGAGGAAACATGTACAGGAGTGCACTATTAATGCTTCATCAGCAAAGCAAGAGCCTTTCTCTACAGTTCCTGCTTTCTGAAATATCTTTTTTCTTTTGTAGACAATGAATAATTCTTACAAGTACAGGGGACTGGACCTTGCTCAGTGTCTCACTGGAAGGACAAAGTTAAACAGAGGATGAGTTTCCAACCATGTTTGTTCTTTGTATCTCTAGACTATCATGGACATTGTTATCTAACACATATATAACCAAACTCCTCCTCCCCCCCCCTCGCAGCTGTTTCCTTGGTTACCAGCAAAGCAGCAGAGCTGCTGCCTGCCATCTAGCAATTATAGTTCAGTTTCATAGCTTACACTGCAGTGTAGATTTAAAGCTAGTAGGTTAACTGCATTGGACTAATTCCTTAAGCAAATGCAGGGCTCTGCAGCAAAACTTCCCAACGGAACAGGGAATTTCTGTAGAACTTAGGACCTACCGCTTAAACCAAAATCTTGGATATACTAGGATCTTTCTAAAATTAAAGGCCTCTTTACAAAATTAGCCACAGTGAACATGCAATGAATCTACACTAGTTTTTAGAACCCTATACTCTGTGTATGCATAATAGCGCATGTATAGAGACTTTGCAAGGAGCCACAAATGACTCAGTTACATATCTGTGTTAAATAATACTCTGGGTCATAAATCCAGCATTTTACAGAAGCATCAATGCCTCGGGCTATTCACCATGCCAACTTGCTTAAGGGGCTTGTGTGTCTGTCACTTCAGTACAGAACAAACATTGATTTCTGGCTTATTGCTCATGGTTAGTTTCAAACAAACAGACCATGATCTTGATTTGGGCCACCCAACAAACCATACTATGACGTGCTTGAAATATGCAGGTGTTACATGGAAAGACCCACGCCACTGGAGGAAGCATATTCACTATTAAACCATGGTTTGTTTGTTTCATTAAATTTATACACCACTTGATTGCAATGATAGAACAACTTTTAGTTTAACTATGGCTTATTGGGCCATGTGAATGAGGCCTTTATAAAAACCAATCAATAAACATTACAAACCAAGCAAGACTGAGAGGAAGACAGCACCCTGGGAAGGAAGGTAGGATCTAACTGGAGAATCACTCTGTCACTATAGAAGACACTATGGAAGTCACCCCAGCCGATGCCACCTCTGTAAGGGCTAAAAATTAAAGCCTGTGGGGCTATAGAGGACGATCCAATGCTTCCTAGAGTGGAGGTGGAAGCATCCACCACTTCCCTCCAACAAGAAAGAAATTGTAGATGGGCAGCAAGCCCTTTGTGCTCACCTCTCAGAAGCCAGTCCATGGAGAGGGAAAGGAGGGAGGAATCTAATCCTTTTTTTTTTGTACTTATACAAAGAAAGAACAGTAGAAAGAGTGAAGTAACAGAAGAAAAAAATTGCTAAGCCAAGATGAAGGAGTAAGGCAAGCCAAAGTGGAATGTGACTGCTTGGTGGAGGCAGGAACAAAAAACTGAAGAGGGGCCAGAGTATTTCCTATAAAAGCTACTCATGCCTTTGTCCACTAAAGGTGCAAGCTAAATTATATTTATTTATTTAGGTTTTAGTAGTTTTTTATGCTGTTAGTTTTATTTTATTTTTGTCAGTTGAATTTTATGGCTTAAATTATGTATTTTTGGTAAAGTTTATGAGTTGCTTTGAACACCTTTATTGGCTGAAAGAAAGCATAGAAATAAACTCTAAAGAACCAAACTACAGAGCAGAGTAAAATAATTCCAACTAAACATATAATCAGAAATGCCAGTAGTGATTGATAGGACACATCTAGGACTTAATTCTTCCAGATTAAGTTTGTTCCCATGGCGCCTTTTTACACACAAAACATAGCTCCCCTCTTTTTTCCTCCTTGGCCTGTCTGAAAGAAACCTAAAACGGTTTTTGCTAGCTGAAAGAGTGACCGTTTCAAGGTAAAATGCAGCTAAACAAGTTTTCCATTAGACTTTATTTCAAGGAGAGACCAAGTAATGCAATGTTTTGAACCAAGTTAGTGAGTAAATTTGAAAACATAGCAGAGACTTCTTTTGCATCCATAACTGCAGTATTTACTAATGCAACCCCACTTAAGCAAGGGTTATGTTCCTGGTTACTGTGTGTATACATGAAATTGCATATAGTGGGGAACACCATCTAAAAAGCCTCTAACATCTTCGGAACCTCTGAAAACCCTTTAAAAAACCAGCAGCACTTACTAGCTACTGCTATTTCCCCCGCTGGTTTTGTGCCATTTTTTGTGTTCTTGCCCTCTTTTCAGGCTGTTTTTGCCCTTTTTGCGTCCTTTTGCAATTTAAATCAAATCATTTATTTCCCGGCCCCATGCATATGCGCAGTTGCACGTGAATCAAGCACATGTAAGTGGGGAGTTGCCTGTATACATAGACAATCATGTACTTATTACATCACTACAGAAACAATCACTACCATCAGGCAACATCATCACTCCTATACTAGCAGGAGTAATAGATTTGAGGAAGCAGCTGAGACTAGCTTTAAAGAGTTAATGCTCTTTGAGCCCACCCAAGAAGTGTGGTGTAGTAGTTATGCGTGTTGAACAAAGACCTGGAGACCAGGGTTCAAATCCTCAGCCAGCTATGAAGTTCACTGGGTGACTGTGGATCAGTCACTGTCTCTCAGCCTAACCTACTTCACAGTGAAATGGGGAGGAAGAGAATCTTGTATGCCACCAGCAGCAATGGCCCAGGGACTACTGACTACCAGCACAGAAACCATATTACACTATGCAATTTAGAATAACCAAATACAAGGTCAACTCCGTAAAGGCCTTTCAACTGGTTTACACAGTTCCCTACAACGTAGAGAAGCCAACACACTTACAGGCAAAGGTTTTTTCCTCATCTCAAACATCCGGGTGGCACCAAGGCTGAGGGAGGCTATGACAGGGTTTCTTCCCAGCTCTGGCTCGTCGTCACTGTGCCAGTCAACACTGTCCTTCTCATTTCGATATAGGTTGCACAGCAGAGAGTTGAAGGAGTGCTTCGTGAAATCTTCAATGCGATCCTTCAGCATGGTCAACAGTGGGTGCCACTGAAAGTTTGTTCCCACAGAAAAAAATGGACAGAAAAAACCCGGATTAACATGGGAAGAAGTACAAGTCATATGCAGAGGGAGAGATGGGGCGTGAAAAAAATATGCAAAGCATCGAAGGGAGATTTCCAGGGCATCGAAAGGCTTGGAACAGCTGGCAAAAGGACCACCTGATCTCAATCCATGGTTAGAGAACACTGAATAATGGATCAACTGCTCCAGAACTTTCCACGCCAGCTTGTGCCATGTTCTCAGCAGTTTGTTCGTATGCATTAAATTGACATTTAAAAAACATGCCTGGGGGCTATGCCATCAGCCAAGGCCTCATAATGCCAATCCGATGCTTCAGCCAATGTGGTCAGATTGGCAGTGAAACAGAGCCAAATACAGCAGCATAGGGAAGGGCATGTGTAACCTGGCACTCTTGTGCACTTCAGTTTTAAGGTGTTGGTATCTGTGCACTTCTCACACAAACACATGCTCCTTGCCAAGTAAGTGTTGTATTTTCATTGTGCCAAACACACCTCCAATAATTTTGTTGTATTGTGCTGAAAAAGGGAAAAGTGATGAGGAAAAGGGTAGAAGAAGATAAGTGGGACTATGAAGGGGACCAATTTAGCATCTAGTTAAAAGAAAAGGCATAAAAAGTTAATAAACTGTTACAAACCTAATTAGTACGACTTTGGAAAATGAAGAGAGTAAGAAATGGGTTTTGCTATGTTTGGGGCATGCACATATATTACACATTAGTTTATCAAAGTGAAGTAAGAGTTGCTTAGCCTCTAAGAGTTGTCAAGAACCAAATCCATTACATATTCTTCTTTGGGGCTTACTAGGAACACACCCACACCCATATATTACCATGCTTATTACGCTATTTTATTCTAATTGCTTCTCAGACATGATATACCACGTTTCTTTATTCCTTTCTTGCTGTATAGTGAGCTTTGCTATTGTTGCCTGTATTTTTAACTTTATTTCAAAATAAAATTCCATGAGCAAGTCACATGTGCAAAGAAAAAAAAAAGCTATTTGCATTTTGATTCTAAACACATACTTATAACCTCTTCCAGTTGAGTTGCTGGAATTTTTTTGTTTTTCACAATCTGAAGAGGTGCTAATCTTAACATACCTGTATAAATTCCTTCATGAAAATCAGAGAGCCTGGCATTATTACACCAGTAGTATTTTCCAACCATAGTATTTTTTTAATAATCATGTACCACCTACCTGGAGCCTGTAAATTGCTCATGGCACTCACTGAATGTGTGCACCTGCGCTAAAATATTTAAACTAGTTTCAAGCCTATTAAATTTCATGACCCATAACTAATGAACAACTGGAGAAGTTAAGAGATCCCCCAATGAAGAACTTACAGCGCTGTATCAATAGCACAATATCAAGGGTGTACCCTAGGCAAAATGACGCATTTTAAGCTGGCTGAAATTCAAGTGTAGAGGTAATCCTACCTGGGATGGGAGCACTAACACTGATCTCCCATTCTAACATGTCACCTGACAGCAGGAATACAAACAGCCATTCTTCTGTAGCCAAGGAGTAACTGCTGTCCAGTTGCTATGGAAAAAGTCAGCAGGCTACCATATTATTAATGGTACTCATCCTTAACCCTACTCATCCTTCCAAAAGAGCCCAGTGCGGCATCACAACAGCTGTACTGCTCACTTTTAATAGTGAGATTCAGATAAAAATACTGTATTGTATGTAGGCAAAGTTATTTTAACTTCTGCAAGTACACATGTTTAGGCATATATACATACATCAGCATTTGCCTTCATTGTTAGCCTGGAGTAAGTATATGGAAGTTCACCATACCAAGCGGTGAGTCTGGGTTCATCGTAAGACAGATCTAGAGAGAAAGAAAGGAAAAACAAAATATCTGTGACCCCCATATAAGCAACCCAGCCCCGATATACTGACCAAAGTACAGTTTGGTAAAGATCCTTGGTGGATGGCTTGATAAATGAAGTTCCCTCCTCCCCAGTTCCATCTGCAATTACTCTCTGCATTTACTCAAAGATCAGTAAAAACACTCCTTACACAGAGAAAGAAAGCCTATCAATCCACTTAGCAGAATATGGTCTACATCAAGGGCAGCCATCATAGTTCACTCCAGATGTTTGTTGGACTACAATCCCCATCATCCCCAGCCAGCATGGCCAATCCAGCAACAACTGGAGGACATCACATTGGCTGGCCTACAATAACTGGCAGCAGTTACCTAGGGTTTCAAACAAGAGGCATTTCCAGCCCTACCTGAAGATGCCAGTGACTGAATCAAGCAGGCACTTCAGGACTTGTTCGATGTGGTCGAGGGAGAGATTTTGTAGGCTGTTCATATTATCTGCTGTGTCATCTTGCTTGCAATACAAGACTATAAAAAGATACAACACAACTGCCCCCAAGTGGACAAAACTAACAGAGCATACTTCTGCCTGCAGTAATAATAATAATATATATTGGTACACCACAGATGCAGCTAGGAGATGTATTTGAAGGTTTTCCTTTAGAGAAAGCCTATCAAACTCTATGAAGCAGAATTGCCTCTGTTGACCTTTGGTGATAAGCACAAATTATGGCCTTGGTGTCAAACCCAAAATCTTATTGTCAGGCCCTGTCCAAGGGGCAGGTAACCGTAGGACACGCTTTTGCTACAGATTGTGGTTAACTGTGATCCTAAGCTATTAGAAAACCACTGGCTCAGCAGTCACACTGTGCTGAAAGCACCAGGGAGGAACAAAGCAGGTTCAAGCTGCTCTCTGGGAGACAGCATGTCTGAGCAGCCCCAGTAAGCCATCGTTTGACTTACTGTGACATGTGAACCAAGCCATGATGAATAGAAGGAGCATTCTAATATTTTTCAAAATATGCAGGAAAGCATCCTTAGAATGCCCACATGAGGATTGGGAAAGGACAGCGAGAATGGTCTTGGTGCTCCTCGACCTGTTCCAAATGGTACCACTCTCAGTGACTGCCACTGCTTGGGACCCTTCACAGCTGCATGGCCTCAGCCACCAGCTTTCTCCTCCAGAAGCAGGCAGTTGTAATGGGCCAGGAGCGACTATATTTTCTCTCCCACATCATCCGCCACCAGGTAAGTTTGTCCAGGGGTGCATGGGCTTCCAACGACTCCAAAACTGCTACAGCCAGCAGTGACAATGGAAAAAGGAGCTAGGGGCTAAAGCAATGTGTCAGCCTAGTGGGTCCTGGCAGATGCCACGGTAACAGCAGGCCTGGCCACAGTAAAAGTGGGCAGTTAAACGAGAACGACTGTACCATTACCCTGCCTGATGTGTGTTCTCTGCCTCCAGGGGATCTCTTGGAGGAGTTGTTCAAACATCCAGTCTGCTTCGTTTAAGTCAATGAAGCCAGGAATCAAATGAATCCTAGCACAGGAAAAACTGGATTATACAGGAGCATTGCGTGATCCGTCTCCCAAGCATTCTAATGTACAAATGCATTTCAGTTTAAGTGCAAGTGCTAACTTTGACACATGGCTGTCATTCAAAGCTAGTTAGCAGTTTATGATTTTTTAAAAATCTCTTTACCAAAAAACTTTATTAAGACAACTTCAACAGACAAGCTTGCTATCTGTGTTTTTTCCCGTAGGAACCTGGAAAAGTACCTCTAACATTAGATACTGAAAATGAAGCTTTTATGGCATATCCAAATAATATTATTCTTGAAAATGTTTCTATGCGGCCAAGCGTATGCAGGCAATTAAAAAAGAAAGCTCCTTTCAGTAACACTTAGCTGATGATCTCTGATTTTAGCTTTCATGTTGTTTTTATTGTATATAGACATTGTTATAAACCACTTTGATATTTTTAATGAAATAGCGGTAGATAGTTTTATAAATGAATATATAGATAAAAAGTGACAATATTTTGAAGAGAAAATAAGGAAAATACAGTGATTCACAGGAAGATCAGTGGAGCAGCTAGCTCAGAGATTTTCCAGCCATTTCTGCTTCCAGTCATTCCGGTAATATGCAAGTAAAACTTGGGAAGCAAGAGCCTTTTCCTGTATTACTGTCTAGCATAGTCCACATTCAGTGCACTGAAGTACACGCTTTCTGTAGCACCAGTGCGTCAGCCAATTCAGTACTGGCCAGAATCCAACTGCATTATTCTGCAATAATAACAAAGGAGAGTTTTTATCTGCTTACCGAGATATTCCTGATGGTGATGTGCTGATCTCATACACACCCTGATTCCTAAGAACAAGGAGGAAGAGAAAATCAATCAGATATGGTTGAGCAGGCATATGTGATTCAGAATACCAACAAGGGCCAGGGAAAGAGAGTCTACTAAATGACCACTGAGGCCATTCTTTTGCCATGGAAAAGCTAATAGGAAAGAGAAGGTGTTGTCCATATCACTATATGTCACAAGAGCACCTTATTCTACAATGAATTCAAGTTGTACTTACTCTATTCTTTTGGGCTCTGGGGGTCTACGCACCACCTAAGGGGAAACAACAACAACATTCTGTAGAGCAGGCACATTCAAGTAAGTTAGCTAAAAAGGGGTAATTTGGTAACCCAGTAATAATCCTGCACGTGTCTTAAATTTTCATGGAGTGGTTACTGTAAGCAGCATTGGCAGCCTTTGAGCTGGACAGTATATGTTATTTATTTAAAATATTTCCAGCTTGTCCTTTATCCAAGGTTCTCAGGCAGGAAATGGTAAAACTGCAGTTAGAAATAACAATCCATAGCATACATGAACAGAATAAAATTCACAGTACAATTCGTCATTAAATGGTAGACTACAAAACCCAACTGAGTATTAACAACCTCCCAAGGCCTAAGTGAACAACCATGTTTTAAGCTGGAGTCTAAATGGGGGAAAAAAGAGTAAGACCATGCTGAAATTCAGAGGGGAGTTCCACAACCAAGGTGCCACCACAGAGAAGGCCCTTTCCTACACCAATGCGTAACATATGATTCCAGCAGTGGGTTACTAAGGAGGAGCTTCCTAGTAGATCTTAACATCAAGGCAGAACTATATACGGAGAGGCTATACTTCAAGTATGCCAGCCCCAAGTTACTCAAGGCACTGTAAGTCATCAGCAGTATCTTGAACTCAGACCAGAAAAGTATAGGCAGTCAATGTAATTGTTTAAGAACAAAATTAAATATGCATTCAACTGGTTACTTCACTCAGCAACTGAGCAGCTGTATCTTGTGCTAGCTGCGGTTTCTGAGGAGTCTTCAAGGGCAACCCTATGTAGACACATTACAATAATCCAACTGGGAGGTTATCAGAGCATGGATTATTGTGGCCAGAAGCTTTCCCCGTCCAGAAGCAGCTGTAGCTGGGAAAAAGCATTCTGTACCACTAAGGGCACCTGAGCCTCTGGTGACAATGCCAAATCTACAAGTAGACCCAGAAAACAAACCTGCTCCTTCAAGAGGGGTACAACCCCTTCAAGAACAGATTGAATACCTTATACCCAGACCCTAGCACAGCATTTCTGTCTTGTCAGGATTCAGCTATTTAATCTCTACCTCTTCTGGGGCTTTAAAAACAAACTGCCTTTCAGGTGGAAGCTGCTCCTCTCTTCTCACCCGGGACTGTGTTGTGCTTGCAAAGGCTTGGTTCCTGTGGCTGGAAGTTCCAGAAGCTAAGACAGAAAAAGAAAGAACCAGCCAAATTAGTTAATACACATGGCTTTGTATTTCTGGTACACTTGTAAACAGAACCTCCGAAATGTAGCTTTGAGAGTGACTCCCAAAGCCGAAGATCTCAAATCCCTTCACAAAGAACATACCATTTTTTTGAGAACTGTATGTGAAATAATAATAAAAAATCCACTGCACAAGTGCCATGTATCTAGATCTTCAAAGACTGCCCATGTAAATAACTACAAGATGAAGCTTTCCTTCTATAACCTTTAGGTATAATACAAGCAGATACATGAAAGCCTGGCAAACATTTGGGTGGAGGAACTATCACCCTCCTTTCCCCCCTAAAGCCTCCCACCCCCCACAAAATGGAGATAAAATTGGATTATGAAATATTTTCTATTACAGTGTTGAACAAAATGTTTGAGACAAGGTGTTTATATATTTCTCTGCCAAAATTATTTCTAAAACTGTAACAGAAAAGACTTTTATATAAGAGTACGTTCAATATTTGATCATTACAATTCCATTATTTGATCAGAGTACAACTCTCAAAGGGACGCGGGTGGCGCTGTGGGTAAAAGCCTCAGCGCCTAGGGCTTGCCGATCGAAAGGTCGGCGGTTCGAATCCCTGCGGCGGGGTGCGCTCCCGCTGATCGGTCCCAGCGCCTGCCAACCTAGCAGTTCGAAAGCACCCCCGGGTGCAAGTAGATAAATAGGGACCGCTTACCAGCGGGAAGGTAAACGGCGTTTCCATGTGCTGCACTGGCTCGCCAGATGCAGCTTGTCATGCTGGCCACGTGACCCGGAAGTGTCTGCGGACAGCGCTGGCCCCCGGCCTCTTGAGTGAGATGGGCGCACAACCCCAGAGTCTGTCAAGACTGGCCCATACGGGCAGGGGTACCTTTTACCTTTTTACAACTCTCAAATGCAACAGTAAGACATGTTTCTGCCACTTATGGGGAACCTTCATTGTCACAAGCTTTCTTTGTTTGTGGCCCTCTTCTTGCTAGCATAGTTAGTGAATCTATTTTTGCCCTCCTGAATATGTCTTAAAGAACTGGGGGTGGGACAACGTACAGGGCAACCTAATTTTGTTACTATCCCAATTCAAGCTGTCACAAATCTGTTGAATCCAAGATGCAAAGGCAGAAATGTAAGTGATGATAGCACTACTTCTGAATTTGACAAAATAAGCAGCACACTTAGGACTTGATATTGGAAAGGTGCTTTCAAATGTTGCAGAAAACAGAACACCTTCACGTATCTAGCCAAAGAAGGAAGTCTGGAATTCTACCAAGCATATAGAATCATAGAGTTGGAATAGACCACAAGGGCCATCGAGTCCAACCCCCTGCCAAGCAGGAAACACCATCAGAGCACTCCTGACATATGGTTGTCAAGCCTCTGCTTAAAGACCTTCAAAGAAGGAGACTCCACCACACTCCTTGGCAGCAAATTCCACTGTCGAACAGCTCTTACTGTCAGGAAGTTCTTCCTAATGTTTAGGTGGAATCTTCTTTCTTGTAGTTTGGATCCATTGCTCCGTGTCCGCTTCTCTGGAGCAGCAGAAAACAACCTTTCTCCCTCCTCTATATGACATCCTTTTATATATTTGAACATGGCTATCATATCACCCCTTAACCTCCTCTTCTCCAGGCTAAACATGCCCAGCTCCCTTAGCTGTTCCTCATAAGGCATTGTTTCCAGGCCTTTGACCATTTTGGTTGCCCTCCTCTGGACACGTTCCAGTTTGTCAGTGTCCTTCTTGAACTGTGGTGCCCAGAACTGGACACAGTACTCCAGGTGAGGTCTGACCAGAGCAGAATACAGTGGCACTATTACTTCCCTTGATCTAGATGCTATACTCCTATTGATGCAGCCCAGAATTGCATTGGCTTTTTTAGCTGCCACGTCACACTGTTGGCTCATGTCAAGTTTGTGGTCAACCAAGACTCCTAGATCCTTTTCACATGTACTGCTCTCAAGCCAGGTGTCACCCATCTTGTATTTGTGCCTCTCATTTTTTTTGCCCAAGTGCAATACTTTACATTTCTCCCTGTTAAAGTTCATCTTGTTTGTTTTGGCCCAGTTCTCTAATCTGTCAAGGTCGTTTTGCAACGCTGCAACGCTGTGGCAAAGCCTTTCCACAACATAGCCTCAGACTCCTCTTCCTTCTTACCTACTTCAGATTTCTCCATCTTCTGCAGCATGTGAAAAAACTGGGAAATGTTTGGAAATATGTGTATCAAATCAAGAAATAAGCTGGCATGTGAAAGAGTAGAAGCTGGTTTCAGTCTGGGCAAACCTTGTTTTTAGAAGTGCATGGTAAATTTGGCAAATATGAAGAAAATAAAACTGATAGTGATAGCTTATAAAGAAAGCCTGGTTAAATTTTATGCAGTATTCATGTACCTGAATAAACTGTACTTTTAATATAACAAATAGTAATTCTATGGTAAACCAAGTTATACATAATGCAAAAGAAAGAATGAAAGGTTACACTGGGAACCTTGAATGCATATACTATTCAAACCTGAAATCAGTCTGGTAATTGTCTTTTTACTTCAGATGTTCATCTCTAGGAAGCATAAAGGCTTATGCACACAGTTCTTCAGGCAGACTAAAATTAGTATGCTTACTAACTTTAGGCAGTTAGTATATTTACTTATGTTATTTATCTCAGGAAAACTTCTTAGGAAAAATTGGAGCAGCATCTATTAAGCAGAATCCCAGATATTGGAATGGCAGAGGAAAATGTTGGATCCACTGACTTTTTGAACAGCAGGTTCTCTCTCATACATGCAGAGCACACCCTATGCCAACCACCCAATCAAACTCTACTCATTTTTGGCCAGAAATTCAGCAGAATGATCACCACATATTGTGCTGTAGGTGGAACTTGTAGTCCTGTTTGAAAAGCAGGAAGAGATGCCACCAAACCAAGCATACAGACCTGTTGGGACCCAAGGTCTGAAGAACAAAAGATTATTCCATTCTCTTTCTTTCATCTGGTTTGGAATGGTGCATGCTTTCTTATACAAGGAGCAGGACAGAGGATACAACATGCCTTTTGGTAATAGTCTACAAAGTTGTATTAATAAGGATTATCCCCTAAGGTTAAGAGGCTTAAGAACATTATACAGATCCAAGCTTAGGACTGGTAAAGAAAACCAGACACTTTTAATTTTGTTCAATTATATACATCTATATAAAAACAAAAACATGATCTTGCCTGCACGAGAAGCTGCTCTGTTATTAACTGGTCCAGCCCAGCCCCCCTGCACTCTGGCTCTTTGCCTTTTATCTTCCATTATCCTTTAGAGTATCTTCCAGACCCTGTTGCAAAGGATTTAGCTTTCTTTTCTGTTTTAAAATATAAAGGAATGATAATTAAGCACATTAAGATATCCACGGCTTCTAGACAGGTGATAGAACATAGCAGATAATAGCTTATCTATAAGCCACAGAACCCCGGTTCAAATGTTAACTTGGGCCACATTCAAATCATACATATAAAGCTCTATGATACGATTTTAAACAATCATGGCTCCCCTCCTAAAAAATTTAATTCTGGGAGCTGTAGTTTGCTAAGGGTTTTGTTAAGAGACCCCTATTCCCCCCACAGAACTACAATTCCCATAGTTCCCATTCCTTCACCCTGTGAAGAGAGACTGATTACTAAACCACTCTGCAAATTGTAGCTCTGTGAGAAAAATAGGGCTCCACTAACAACTCACAGCACACATAACAAACAACAGCTCTGAGAATTCTTTGGGGGAAGCCGTGACTGTTTAAAGTGATATCATAGCGCATAAGATGTATGATGTGAATGTGGCAGCCTTAAGACTTTACTTACCTGAAAGTAAGCCCTATTAAACTCAAGGGTAAATTAGCTGGGCAGATATATGTAGGTCCATTCATGAACACGCTGCACGGCCTCAGGCAACCTACTCTCAGTTCCCAATGTGTGATGGTTACTGTGTCAAACTCAGACCTGGGAGATCAGGATTCATATCCAGCCCACGGAGCTCACTGAGTGACCTTGGGCCAGTGAAGATAAATGGGATAGGGAAAGAAGCGTGCACGCCACACCTTGAGCTCCTGGAGGGAGTGAAGGCAATATATAAATCTAGCTACAAACAAACAAAAATACTCGGGGAGAACTATTGCTTTGGAAGATGCAGCAGCAGCACAGCTACGGAGCCGACAACCTGGAAGTGATCTCCCATTGAATCCAGTGGGACTTCCTGCACTGTCAGCGGCCTGGCCTCAAAGACGCAGACCCCCCCCCTCTTAAATCTCTTCAGAAGAGGCGAAACATACACGGGAGCGAAACCCGTGCACGCTCGGAACTACGCTGGAGCCTGAGGAAGAGAAGGCAGAGAACGCGGTCGGGGTCTGTGTGTGTGTATAAACACACACACACACAGGAATAGACTTATGTATATATGTATGGCGTCTCCCCTTCCTGAAGCAAAATTCAGGGCTTAAGCAGCATAAGCAGCGACAGCAAGGCCGCCTTTCTTTTATTTCCTCACAACTCGGCCTACCTAAAGCCCACCCACCGAACCTCCGCGCTCTTCCGACCTCTCCTTTCTTCCCGCCCTCCTTTTAACTACCATCCCTCCCGCCCCCCGCCGCCGCCGTCACCGGAGCTCCCACTCACCGGCGGCACAAAACACAGCAGCTCCCTCCTCCTCGGCCAGACACCTGCGGTAAAAGAGGGAGCCCCGCCCCCGCCTGCGCGCGCACGCTCAGGAAAGCCCCCGCCCCCTTCTGCCCCGCTGCGCGAATGGGAACCGACAGGCGGCCCCCTCCCCCGCGCGCCAGACCATTCCTTGCGCAGGCCCCGCCCCCTCTGCTGACACCGGGACCTCCGAGTAAGGTCCGGATGCGCGAAGGAGCCCTGCCGCAGAAAGCCCGCCGGCCTACCTAGCCTAGCATAGCATAGGGGAAGCCGCTACAAGCAACAGCCTTCTCCCATCCCTGACCCCCAAGCAGCTGGCATCAGGGCAGTAGCTAGGGGGTGGTGAGGTGCCCCCCCCCGCAAATTCGGCTAAATAATATATCCATAAATATGTCTCTAAATACCCATTATTGCCTCATAAGAAAAGGTTTTAAATAGAGGGTTAATGGCGGCCGGGGCGGAAAGAAGGCAGAAAGAAGAGCTAATTTGTCCATGGCTAGGGGGCGAAATGGAGGGACGCGGGTTAAACCACAGAGCCTAGGGCTTGCCGATCAGAAGGTTAGTGGTTTGAATCCCCGCAACAGAGTGAGCTCCCGTTGCTCAGTTCCTGCCAACCTAGCAGTTCGAAAGCATGTCAAAGTGCAAGTAGATAAATAGGTACCGCTCCGGCAGGAAGGTAAACAGCGTTTCCGTGTGCTGCTCTGGTTCGCCAGAAGTGGCTTAGTCATGCTGGCCACATGACCTGGAAGCCGTACTCCGGCTCCCTCGGCCAATAAAGCAAGATGAGCGCCGCAACCCCAGAGTCGGCCATGACTGGACCTAATGGTCAGGGGTCCCTTTACCCTTTACCTAGGGGGCGGAATCTGGACAGTTCTGCCAGGGGCATAAGATCACCTAGCTACAGCTCTGGCTGGCATTGGGGTCCCATACTGCCTCTGATCCTGGAGGTGGTGGAATAGGACATATTGTGATATTTGATTGTGTATTTCTCTTCCCCCCCCCCCCCCGCGCATAGAATCAGTATTGAAAGAGACCCTGGAAGTTAGTGGTCCAACCCACCCCCCTCTGCCCCCACTTAATGTAGGATAAGGCTACAGCAATCCTGGCAGGTGGCCTTCCAGTCTCTGTTTACTGTAATTACCTTCAGCGGAGCGAGGGCCTGCCTAATGCTGAGATTGTCTGCTCCACTGATTTATGCTGGGAAGAAACAAGAGTTCCGAATGTGTTTTGCACTGTAATAGGAGTGGAAGAGAGGAGTGCCTGGCGTGCTCTGGTCCATGGGGTCACGAAGAGTCGGACACGACTAAACAACAGGCAAGATTGGCTAAATAAACGAATCCCCATTAAACATGATGAGAAATATTGTTTTATTTTAAATCGAAAGTTTTACAGAACAAGTTAGGAAAAAAAGCAGTCAAGCTACATAGGCAAGCCAGCAATCTCAAATATGCTCTTAATTTTCCAATGGCTGCAGCACACAAGGTGGGGCACCACCACTCCACCACCCTCTTGGCTCCAATGGCACTGCTGCTTGCTGGACCAGGCTGAGCAAGGTTGGTAGTAGGTGCACAAAAGGATAACATGCTCAAAAATGAGATACAAACAAATGGATATTTAATATTCCATAAAATATCTATTTGTATGTTTGCATGTTTGAGCACTTTTTCTTTAACCCTGTCTTCTCTATGGTTGTTGCTTTTTGTTTAGAAAAGCACAACTTTCCCTTGTGTTAGTGGGTGCACGTGTGTCTGCATCTATGCCTGCTGCCGCCACCAACCCATTGCTTCCCCTGCCCTACCCCATCTCTTTGAGCAGTCTTGCAGCTGGGATAGCACAGCAGCAGTGCTTCACCTCATGCATTGCAACTGCCTTACTAATGGTTGTAAGAGAAGCTTTATATAGCCAAAATCCATCTTCTTTCAAATAACTATTTAGAAAATTTAAGCACATTCTGGGACAAAACTTGTTTCTCAATCCTTATCAGCACCATTGCATCGGTTTTCATTTATTTTCTATGTACAGTATCATTTAACACACATTTACTTTCAAACCAGAGCCTTAAATTGCTTCTCCATTGGTAGTAGATGAAACAGAATGCAGAGTTTCTACCATCAATAAATGTGCTCAAACACACACAAGTGATTCTTCAGAACATAGGCAACTGATCACGATCCATCATTTAAGGGCAACGGTAGTGGGCAATTTTTGCTTTTCTGATTCACCTTATAGGTAGGGTTCTTCAGCTACTACTAGCCACCGTTAGTTCAGCACCCTTAGGATTCTTTGCTCTCTAGACAGAGCTCATGTGCTATGGTGATAAAACTGTCCTCTGTACGCCATGAAAGCATCTAAATGCAGGAAATTGCTACTGCTGCACCTTTGGATCTGGTCCCCCAGTCTCCCCTCCTCAATCCCACCCAGCAGTTAAGAAGGGATGGGGGAGGGTCCCATTTGCAGAAATGGGAACTTTACTTCAAAGCTTAATTGTGCTTGGGGAAGAGAATAAAGGGGGGGGGGTAGCAGAAATAAAATGAGTGGCCTACTGCTATCTCTGGTCAATGCCACTGCTAACTTCAGGCCCCCACATTGTGTCTTCCCAATGTACAACCCCCAAAAGATTTTGTGGTTCTCAGTATCAGAAAGGTTCCTCTTATCTGATCTAAAGACACAGCATTTTAATTTTACTTGAGTAAAACATACAACTGGTAATGCTTGAGCAGAGAAAGTCTAGGACGTTACCACTGAAATCTTAATTTGCATGTAAAGGCAGCCAATTTTTTAAAATGTAGTTTCTACGCTGTACATTCTCAGTTCATTGGGTCTGTAGCGTAGGGTCAATATATACACATCAAATAATATTTCTATCAGTATCTAATTTCAAACACTGTATGTTAAGCAACAACATAGCCTTGGATCCAAGAGTTCTGGTGCAAGAGGAGGCCATGTAGGTTTCCACAAGATTCCCCTTTCCCCCAATTTTCCCTTCCTATTGTAGCCTTCTGTGACACTCTATACTATTATAAAGGGTTTCCTCAATCCTCAGAGGTAGCTTTGGGAGGGGTGGTGCAAGAAAGCCCTGTTGTACAAGCACATCTTTCAATCCAGGGTACGAGTAATTTAAGGATTTTTTTTTCATAGAATTGGAAGAGACCACAAGGATCATGTAGTCCAACTCCCTGCAGTGCAGGAATCTTTCATCCAAGGTGTGGGTTGAACCCAAAACCCTGGGATTAAGAGTCTCATTGCTCTACCAACTGAGCTAAATCACTATCAGTAACTGGCAAGATTTGTTACTGCGATCTGTAGCATTTGTCTTCCAACAGTTTGATAAAGCCCACCTCTCTTAATATACTATTTTAGTAAAAGGACTAGCATCAGTAAACAAAAGTATTGCCAATGGATAAAATCTATACAGCTATCACATTAAGCCCTTTCACTTCAATCTGATCATGTAGACTGCAACAATTTCACATTTACAGTGTCTTAGGTGGGGAGATCATGTAGAAGGGAGTGAAATGGCTAAAGAAGTCTATGCTGACAAGGCAAGGATCTTGTGGCCCATGTGTGATGGAGGGGAAACTTGTCCAGTTTCATTCATAATAAAGACCATTGTGTGACTTCTTGCAAAGTAAAAATAAATGACAACAAATATTTAATGAAAGAAATACTGCATCGACCAATTCAATACCAATATTAGTGTTGTTCTGTATCAACACCAACAATGTTCCACATCAAATTCTGTCAAATTTATCACACTGACATCATTTCCCAAATCAAACATCTGTTGGTGTTAAGTGCATTTTAGTAAAGCTAGTAACTACAAGTACCCGTTACTGTTCCAAGTCACATCGAAAAAGCACATTCTAAAACAATGATGCAGAAGAACAACAAACAAAATCAACAAGTTGCTGGTTGCCTTGCCCCATGCTCCTCAGTTTTCTCTTTGTTCACGCTGGACTGTGGTCCCAAAAGAAAATCCCATTCGAAAGAACTTTAAGATATGACCAGTATTTCGCTCCACAGAACTACCAACAAATTGGTCATGATGATGCAACTCAATTCTCCTTTAATTTCTTCAAATAATAAGCTCTCAGTTTTAGGTTCGTGTCAAGGGCCATCTTTGTGAAATACCACTTGGGCACAAACTTGCTAAACCAGGCCTAGGAAATGGAGGAAGAAAAAGGTTCATTATCAAATCTCTGAAGACCAGAATTCAATGTGACTATAAGGGAAACCAAATTATAACAGTGACACTCAGATATTAACAAGATACAAGAGCCCTGCTGGATCAGGTCAAAGGACTCTCAGGGGTGGAAAATCTTTGGTCCTTCAGATGTTGAGGAATGGCAACTGCCATCAGCCCCAGCAAAAATAGACAATGGCCAGGGATGATGGAAGCAACCTGTTCTTACAGTGGCAACCAGATGCCTATAGGAAGCCCACAAACAGCACCGGATATTCTAAAACAGGAGGGGAGCCTCCAGTCCATTGACCAAACTTAGCCTGCTGGGGGTTCAAATTTATTGTCATATATGATGTCAGGTGTGGGGCAAATAAAGACATGGCACAACTGGGAGCCTTAAAAGTGCAATCCTTGTGGTGCATCGGCAAGGGAAAGCATTTGGTTCAAGGAGCCAAAGCACCAAAGCCTGCAAAAAATATTTCAGCTAAAGCCTTCTGGATCAGCTGTGCAGGGCTTTGCATAGTGGTTCCCAAGTGCCCGGCAGCCAGCTGGTGGGCAGGACAACTCACTTGTGAGCTATCTGGTGTCATCATGACATCATGTGAATGACAGGTAGGTTGTCCCAACCATCTGTCAAAGTTGACCTGCAATGGGAGTCAAAAAGGTTCTCCATCCCCATTTTCTTTCCACAAATAGGAAATGTACTAAAAGCAATAAACTGACTAATACATACCACCAATGCATGAGTTGCACATCCAGAAGTTTGTGTCTCAAGACCAACGGTGTTGAGGGCATTTTTTACATAGGCTTCAGGAGTAGGTTTAAAGGCTGATGGTTTACGGATTTTGGTCATTTTTGTAGCTACAAAATATGGCCGAACGCTCTGAAAAGGAAAGGAATAGCAGAATGTTTTTCTGGTTCTTAAAATATGCCTTCATGGATAATTATTATGCCAAGAAACAAGTATCATGATGAATATGAAGTGATTCAACATGCAAACAGCTTTCACTATATCATATGCAACAATGTTTTCACATTCAACCATTCATTATTAAATATTTTTGCTTTTCAGGTAGACTTCACAAAACAATTTATAGAAAATCATCAAAACATCAGTAATTTATGATGTGCAAATTCTTCTCCAAACACAACTAGTTCACTTTTGATGTTCTATTCCACCCCAATAGCCATCAGCTCTACTAAAATGGCCATCAGAAGACCTTGCATCAGGTAACTGCTGACAAGGATATGGTGCTTCTCTTCCACATATGTGCTCCCACCTGCTCTCTCCTCTCCCTGCCCTGCTGTTGTCACTAATCCAGTGACTCCAAATCAGCAGAAAGGGCTGGAGAAGGGGTGGCACAAGGCAGTAACAAACTTTGCCTAACTCAGGTATGCTGGTTCTTAAGGATGTGGCAGGCCTGATGGAAATATACCCTTGTGGAAATAAGATCATTGGGGTAGTTAAAAACTATAGTCACTGTTGATTTCCAGAGTATTTATTTAAATAGTAGTAATATGCATCATTTTGATACTGATTATAGGTGCCAATAAGACTACTGTCTGCAATGGAAATAGAAGATGGGTAGCTCTTATCAAGCCACATCTCACTGTGTAGCTCTCATTGTACCATACCTCTGGGTAGCATCCTGCATACACAAACCAATCTATTCTAGATTTTAAGTGAACCTTTAACACAGTTTATAAGGCCAAAATGCAAGATATAAGTTAATTAACTGTAAGTCTTGAAAAGTCCCACTTTCACCCAACACCAAACTATGGATTAATACTGTGAGCTTGAGTTGGAACAATCCCAAGTGAAGCATTAGGCTTGCATGTTAAGCCCCGTCCCCAATCTACCAGCTGCAGAGCCAGGACAATGGCTTTGGCATGTTGTGCTGTCCAAACTTGGGGTCGTAGTTCATGCTAACTCTGATCAACCTTTAACAACAGGTTGTGAAATGGGTTTGTTTAATTAACCAGAGTTTGTGATAAACCAGGGGTGGGTAACCTTTTTCAGACGAAGGGCTGTGTTCCTTTCTGGGCAACTCTTCAGGAACTACCTGCCACTGGTGGGCAGGAGGCAAAAGTGGATAGAGCAATGAATACAATTTTTTACCTTTGTAGTTTCTACACCCACCTAATACATGCCTCTCTATCCTGCATCCAGGCAATATAGGTGAATTATTAGAATTCAGGGAGAGATTCCAGCCGGGTAAACATACTTAAAGAAGGGGGGAAAACAGTGGAGGGTGTGGCCTTGAGGGCTGGGCAGAGAAGCCAGGGATGGGGGACCATATTCCTTTGTGTCCTAAAAGGTAAAGGTAAAGGTACCCCTGCCCGTACGGCCCAGTCATGACCGACTCTAGGGTTGCGCGCTCATCTTGCTCAAGAGGCCGTGAGCCGGCGCCGTCCGAAGACACTTCCGGGTCACGTGGCCAGTGTGACGAAGCTGCACTGGTGAGCCAGCACCAGTGCCGCACATGGAAACGCCATTTTACCTTCCCGCTATAAAGCGGTACCTATTTATCTACTTGCACTTAAGGGTGCTTTCGAACTGCTAGGTGGGCAGGAGCTGGGACCAAACAACGGGAGCTCACCCCACCACGGGGATTCGAACCGCCGACCTTCCGGTCTGCAAGTCCTAGGCACTGAGGTTTTACCCACAGTGCCACCGCGTCCGCTGTGTCCTACCTATGTGCTAAACCACAATCTTGATTGGATGGGATGACTGAAAGGAAACACGGCCAAAGTCCTTTTCCCAGATGCATGGAAAAAGCTGAGAAAAAGAGCTCAACATGCGAGCATGAGTCTTTGCTTGGGATTGTTTTCGCTCATGTATGTGGTGCTAAACCATGGTTTAATATTACGTGCAAACTTGCCTAGTATCTAAAGTTGTGTTGCTCAGCTACAGCACTGGGTGGCGCCAAAGGATGGACTACTGGCAACTAAACTAAATGTAGTATAGCGCAGTCATAGCATTATACAGTTTTTGGTCTAAGAGCTGGTCTATTCATCTCCGTCATTCTTTAAATTCACATTTAGTACTGTAATACCTTTCCACATTGCCTTTTCTCAATTAAATATTTTATTCATTCACCTTCTAAGATAGCTTACATAGGTGTTCCATTTCCCCAAAGTAAAGTTACAGAAAAACAGCAAAGGATCTTCCAATCACAATCAATGAAGTTAAATCCATTTATTTCAATGAGTCTACTCCTAAGTAAGGAATGTCACCCACTGAATGTTATTGTTTTAAATAGATACATTTTAAACTGCCCTAGGTTCTTAATTGATGAAGAGCAGTTTAAAAATGGACTAAAAAAATAAAACATAAAGTTACACGTTAAACCTTGTAAGTACCAATTAGCACACAAAAATTGGTTATGAAGAGCAGCAGCAGCAGTAAAAGCAACTCAATATAAGAAACTGTTCCACCTTAAAGAAATTTTGGAACAGTCATGTTCAGGCAGACACTAAAAATAAATAATTAAATAGAGCCACCTCCCGAGGGAGTTCAGTCCACAAAGTGGGCACAACTGATGAAAAGGCACTGCTTCTAGTGGATACCACTAAGCCTAGGTCAGCACTGGGACTCCAAGCAAAGCCGCAGATGTTGCCACACTTTGGAATGAGGTCAGCATCTTAACTGGTAATAACCAGTTAAACAACAGTAGAGGTATTAACAACAGAACAGTTCACCTCACCTGCAGAATGACACCTTTATTTTTGTACTCTGCACTGAGACCTTCAGAGAAGTAATCAACAAAAGCCTAAATAAATGCAATGGAAAAGTATGTTAGGAATGTACTATATGTAGATGAACTTATAGCATAATTTATATATTTTCCTCATGAAAGACAAACCCTGCCTATTTCTACAAATACAGCCTTCGGGGGAAGGTGGTATTCCAAGCCAAAAGCTGTGTATATGTGACAGAAGTTATACAAGGGGACTGCAACCAAACCATGGTTGATCGGGATGAGGATGCTAATCTCGATGCTCTCCTTTCTCCAAAGTTTCTAGAATCACATGCTTAGCTCAGTTTTCAAGAAGTACTTCATCTTCACCAACTAAAACATGTTCATAACCATCACTTTGTGTTCAAACTACAGTGGTGCCTCGCAAGACGAAAATAATCCGTTCCGCGAGTCTCTTCGTCTAGCGGTTTTTTCGTCTTGCGAAGCAACCCTATTAGCGGCTTAGCGGCTAAAAGGCTATTGGCGGCTTAGAAAAGGGGGGGAGAGCGGAAAAAAATCACAAGACTCGCAAGACGTTTTCGTCTTGCGAAGCAAGCCCATAGGGAAAATTGTCTTGCGAAGCAACTCAAAAACGGAAAACCCTTTCGTCTAGCGGGTTTTTCGTCTTGCGAGGCATTCGTCTTGTGGGGCACCACTGTATATTCTCATCTACCTTAAACAGATGAATTAGAAATGGCAACGGTGAGTGCCATATATACATGCAACATACATACCACAGTTCCCTAGAAATGCAACATTCAATTTTCTAAGAATCTCAGCCTTTAGAGATTACGGTCTGGCTTGTAACATAATGCCAAACGATGGTTTAACGTGACAAGGATGAGTCACAGCCTCACATTCTCCCCTCAACTCTGTCCTCCTTCAGAGAAGCCACAGGCAATCAGAAGTTTCCCACTTCCATTTCAGATTAACTGCAGGTTAGCATGTTGTCAAGATTCCTCAGCTGTAATTAATCTTAACTAAGGGTAGTTGAAAAAACTCACTTTCTTAAACTGTTTTACAATTAATTTGTTTCAACCAAACTTAGTCAAGAATAGCCACAACTTGTGCTGCATAAAACAGCAAGCTGTGGTTAATCTAAACTGGAAACAAAAGCTCCTCAGCTCCTCACAGATGCGCTGGAGGAGGGAGAGAGCTACATGAGCCCAAACCTCACAGTGGTTTATATTCATAATGTTAAATGGTGGTTTAGTATTATATCCAACCAACCTCAATAGTGAACAAGACTTGGCTTAAATCTCATGAGAAGGAGCTAACTAAGGTCTGATATGGGAGTTTTGCATCTGGCAAACTCAGAAGGACAAATAATCTCATAATTACTTGTAACCTCATAATTAGATTACTGTAATGAGCTTTATAGGGACGCGGGTGGCGCTGTGGGTAAAAGCCTCAGCGCCTAGGGCTTGCCGATCGAAAGGTCGGCGGTTCGAATCCCCGCGGCGGGGTGCGCTCCCGTTGCTCGGTCCCAGCGCCTGCCAACCTAGCAGTTCGAAAGCACCCCCAGGTGCAAGTAGATAAATAGGGACCGCTTACTGGCGGGAAGGTAAACGGCGTTTCCGTGTGCTGCGCTGGCTCGCCAGATGCAGCTTTGTCACGCTGGCCACGTGACCCGGAAGTGTCTCCGGACAGCGCTGGCCCATGGTCTCTTGAGTGAGATGGGCGCACAACCCCAGAGTCTGTCAAGACTGGCCCGTACGGGCAGGGGTACCTTTACCTTTACCTTTAATGAGCTTTATGTGGGGCTACCCTTGGGCTTAGCTTGGAAGCTGCAACTAGAGCAGAATGCAGCAGTTAGGGTGCTTAGTAGGGTACCTAGCTATACACATAATACACTTTTTGTAAAGTGCTTTGGGATGCCTCATAGGAAGTGACTCATAAATGAAATAAATACATAGCACACACGCACTAAAAGAGTAAAAAGAATAGCTGCCTATTTACTATCAAATCATGCTCAGTGCTATGTTTTTAACATATAAAGACCTGAACAACTTGGGACTAGGATACCTGGTAGACTCCCTTCCCCTAGATAGACCTCATCAATCTTTACCATCACTGGAGGCAGTCCAGCTGGTTGTGCCATCATGGGTGGTGGATTGCCACCTCGTGACAACTTTTCCATCATGACATTGGTTCTCTTGTATACCCTCCCCCTGTGCAATTCTAGAGGCGTCAACTTTGATGTGTCTTATCCCCTGCTCTGAACGTTGCTTGAAATATGAACAAGTTCATTTGCTAAATATGCTTACAAATTACAGTGACTGCCCACCAGAAAGCACTTGGTTAAATTTTTTATTCCTGATAGGAGGTGCAGTTCACAACATCTGGGGGGAAAGCATGAGCAGAGACAACATCATGTCATCTCTTACCTAGAATGTCACACAAGATTTTAGGACGTGAAATATATATAAATACCTATAGCTCACTTTTTGCTGGGCTTTCTTCTTTGTGACTTAGTTTACAATTTTAATTTTAAAGGATTTTATTGTGAATTATATTCTACTGTATACATCCAGATAACTTGGTAGGATGCACAGTACATAAATGCAATAAAGGGATAAATAAATTTACCTTGGTTGAAGAATACACAGTCAGCAATGGAGTTGGGTTAATCGCAGAAAAAGAGGAAATGTTTAATATAACTCCCTTGGACCTGAAGAGGTAAACATAACATATCAAATGAACCATTAGAAACAGAAGAACTGAAACAGGTTATTACAGAAACCAAAGTCTGGTTTACAACTATTTTTTCCATGGCCAGTTCCCTAAGTGACAGTTTAGGTCTCAGCATGTGCTCTGTGGGTGCATATACCTGTGTAGGCATGGATACGTGATAACAACATATTGTTCTGAAATGATAATTTAATGCCTCTTAAGAGCTTAGCTTCTCTCTGGCTACTGCTTTGGTGCTTTCTTTTCTTCCAAGAGAAATGCCCAACCTCACAATCCTCTGGTGCCAACCCACAATCTCGGGTCATGCTTCTGCTATAAAATGAAAGTCAACACACCTATGTGTGCATTCAGAGAGACCTCTTCAGATGCCAATTAAAAGAAAAGCAGCATGAGTTAACAGAGACAAATAATTCTGATTCCGCACACTGTACAGGTTTTACAGGAGACAAATGTTGTTGTCAATGATTGTTTTAAAAAAACAAAGGAATGTTTCTTCAAGTATTTGCAGCTGAAATCCTGACGATCCTTTCTACAGCATGGCATATAAGGGTCTGGTGACTTCTGTTTCAGTGTATCTGAAGAAGTGTGCATGCACATGAAAGCTTATACCCAGAACAAACTTAGTTGGTCTCTAAGGTGCTCCTAGACAATTTGTTAATTTATTTCTACAGCATGGCAGTTTCCCACAAGCTAAGAAGCAGGGGAAGTCTTTGCATGACTAATGAACGTGGTTACGTGTAAACACTGAAAATGCTGCATCTACTGCTATTCCAAGAAGTACAAAACTTTAACCTTCTAATGTAAAGATCCATTTTATCACCAACATGGCTGTCGGGAAGTGCTGGATCTGTATGCAGCTGCCTTGCCCTATGTCACTGAATTGGCCTTCTAAGCAAAGAACTTTCTTGCCTGATTCCACCCACCCACTGATTCCTTCTGGGTAGGAAGAAGCATAAAGGTCTTCCTGAACTCTAGCATGTTCGTGAATTCTGTCTTGGGGGTGTTTTTTGTTTGGTCCAACTTATTCTTCAGTCCTGCTTCTTATTAAATAATAATAATAATAATAATAATAATAATAATAATTTTATTTATACCCCGCTCTCCCCGTCCAAGACCGGGCTCAGGGCAGCTAACACCAAATATAAATACAGTAAAAACATAAAAAACAACAACCCCCAAACAAATAGTTAATTAAAATAGAAGTTAGAATACAGTTTAAAATGCAGCTTAAAAGCTGGAGCCTCGTTTTAGTGGTAGCCCATAGATCAAAGCCATAAGAAGAGAAAACATCAAATATTCACCGGGGCCAACTATCCATGCTGGTGCTACATGGGCCAGCAAAAAGAGTAGAGGCAAAATTTATATAACAAAATCCCATATAAGGCATTCCATAATTTATTTATTTTTTAAAAAAAACGAGAGTCGGGTTAGACTGAGTCCAGCCCAAAGGCCAGGTGGAACAGCTCCGTCTTGCCGGCCCTGCGGAAAGATGTCAAATCCCACAGGGCCCTGATCTCCTGCAGTAGGAAGCTCCACCAGGCCAGGGCCAGAGCTGAAAAGGCCCTGGCCCTGGTTGAGGCCAATCTAACCTCCTTGGGGCTCGGGACTTCCAAAGTGTCATTATTTATGGACCTTCAGGTCCTCCGCGGGGCATAACAGGAGAGGCGGTCCCGTAGGTACAAGGATCCTAGGCAACATAGGGCTTTAAAGGTCAAAACCAGCACCTTAAACCTGACCCTGTACTCCACCAGGAGCCAGTGCAGCTGGTAAAGCACTGGATGAATGTGATCCCATGGTGAGAACCCCGTAAGGAGCCTCGCCGCAGCATTCTGCACCAGCTGGAGTTTCTGAGTCAGCTTCAAGGCAGCCCCGAGTAGAGCGAATAACAGTCATCAAGCCTGGAGGTGACCATCGCATGGATCACGGTGGCCAGATTGGGGAGAGAAAGGTAACGGACCAACTGCTTAATACGGCAGAGATGGAAAAATCCCGCATTTGCTGTAGCTGCAACCTGCGCCTCCATAGAGAGGGAGGCATCAAAGGTTACACCCAAGCTCTTGACAGAAGGCACTGGCACTAATTGAGCCCCTGCAAGAGATGGGAGTTGGCCCCCCAACCCCATGTCGTCCTGACCCAGCCAGAGGACCTCTGTCTTTGAAGGATTTATCTTCAACCGGCTCCCACGCAGCCATCCAGCCACAGCTTCCAAGCAGTGTCCGGGGCCGAGTCAGGATGGCCGTTCATCAACAGATAAAGCTGGGTGTCATCTGCATATTGATGATAGCCCAGCCCAAAGTGCCGGACAATCTGGGCAAGGGGGCGCATAAAGATATTAAAAAGCATCAGGGAAAGGATTGCGCCCTGCGGCACTCCACACACCAAGGAATGCTGTGACAACTCCTTCCCTAGCGCCACCCTCTGTCCCCGACCTGAGATAAAGGAGCGCAGCCATTGTCGGGCTGTGCCCTGAATCCCCATGTTGGCAAGGTGGTGGTAGAAAAGTTTGTGATCGGCCATGTTGAAGGCTGCTGACAAATCTAGAAGAATCAGCAGTCCCGACCTGCCTTGATCCAGCAGTCTACGGAGATCGTCTGTTAGGGCGACCAGCACCATCTTGGTCCCATAACCAGGGCGAAAGCCCAACTGAAATGGATCCAAAGCCGATCCAGAAACCTACCAAGCTGTTCAGCAACTTCTCTCTCAATCACCTTACCCAGGTATGAAAGATTCAAAACTGGATGGTAATTGGATAGATCTGAAGGATCTAATGATGTTTTCTTTAAGAGCACTATCTTACTCACTCTACACTCATCTCAAAATGCTGCCCATGGTCCACCCCTAACAATTGGATTTGCCTTTTGCAGGTATCATTTCAAACAAAATGCAATTCCAGCTTTACACAACGTAGTATGCTTTTCCTGTTACAGGTTAAAAAAACCCATCAAGCTCAATGATATTTTACTAGATCAAACTACTCATTTAGAGAATGTTCTTTGCAAACCATTTTGGAGTTTTTGTTTCAGTTGCCAGTAAGCCAAAAGCCAAACTTTGGGGCCTCTTCCATTGTAAATGAAATATGGTAATTTGGGTAAGATGTTTTAAAGCAAACTTGTAGTTAGCCAGTTGCCTGAGGAGGGAAAGAATTACTTCCATGCAACTCACAGCAGGGGAATTCACTTGGTTCTCTCAAATCCTCCATTCTAACTTTTAAAGTCACCATCATGTGATTGAGGACAGTTATTTCATGCATTCAAGCCATCACAAGATAGCTACAATTAATATGTTAATGTTATATGGGAGAGGAGTGATAATTAGCACAGAGCAGGGAAGTTAATACTTCCTGTGCATTAGGAACATGACTTTGTGGAATACTGAAGAGCATGGATAATGGAAAGATATTGCAATAAGTACGCAACACTATCTACACAGTGTTGGTGGGTCAATTTCAAAAATAGCTGCTCCTAGAAATCTTAATTGCATTAATTCAATGAGCTGGATAATAGAATAAGAATCCAAGTAAGCATGCATTCAAGAAAACTGTAAGAAAGTAAATGCTCTAAAAACCAAGTACATGCCTTTTCCTTTATACTAAGCATGCATGTTTTGCAACAGGCATAATTCAGAACGGGCATTCTTCATTCTCTCACACAAAAAGTGAATGCTTTTTTTAACATGGCGGTTTCCGTCTGCAGTTTTTACCAGTACTAAATAAGAAATACAACAAATTTATAAGTCTCTCACCCAATTTGCAGTTGATTAAAAATGTTTTTAAAATGGAGCAATCCAAATATTTTAATGCTACAGTCCTAGTGGCTACAAGATTTCCCTGAAGTCCAGGGCAATAAGGTTATCTCTTTGTAGGTACAACGCATGATAAAGTGGGACATTAGCCGGAACAGATTCAATGACAAAACAAAACGTTTCCCGTTCAACAATGGTTCCATCCAAGGATTTTTCCTTTGTGAAAGTCAAGGCTACGTATTAACCCAAAGATAGGTTAGAGGATAAGAATTATAAAACCAACAGCAATTACGGAGACTTTGCTCAGATACCAAGATAGTGGCGGGGTGGGGGTAGAAGGTGTGAGAGATACCGGACAATAGCTTGGCAAACTGGAACTGAGCCAATGGATCTCTTTATATATAAAATTTTACTACACATTCTCTAGCTCTCTCTAATCAGATTTGTCTAACATGAATGCACAAAGTGACTGACTGAACACACCCTAATACCTCATCAGCATTCTACCTTAAGCAAAATTGTAGAAAAACATGCTATATTTAGCTCTCCCATTGTTGTTATGGCAACCCTCGTCTGCCCCAGCTCTATGTGAAGTGGTAAAAAGCAAGCTGCCTCTGTAATACAATTAACTTCTAGAAGCGGCCGGGGGGGGGGGGAGCCAACAATTTAATGTTTGCCGTGATTTGAATTGTGCACCACTGCTCTAGGCAAAGATTGTGCTGTTGTGCTGAACAGTGTACCACTTATCTTTGTGCAGTATGGTTATGGATAGAATATACATAACAGGTGATGAATTTGGCTTTATGCAGAATGTAAGTAACCTTACCACAGAATGTGGATCTTTTTCTTAAGAGGGTTGGAACAATTTCTAGCACCTCGAGAAAGACTGCATAGCATTTGCTTCTCAGGGAGTGTCAGTCTGTTCTAACAACCATCTACTTGCACAAGATGCTGCTCACGAGTGGTCAGAATGGTCTGCATTGACCTTTAAGCAGACTATGAAGACATTTTTATTTCAGTGCACTTTCTGGTGAAGTGTGGTGTGCTGCTATTTTTAGATAGGAAACGGAGTAGCTATGTATTTAATTGCTTTATGTTGCTTTAGTTCTGTGAACTGCCTTGCAACTATTAATTATTTTTAATAATCAATTTCTGTCTATTTTATAGAAGGCATCAATTTCATACTACTGTGGTTTTATTATACCGCACAGAGTGGGCTAAAGCAGGGGATTAGTTTCTATTTGTATATGTGAAATCATGATCGTTGCAGTACTAAACCACCAATTTATGGTGGCAATGCATTTGATGTTTAATGTTTTTTGTTCTCAATTCTTGTGGCTATAAAATATGTTTTATAAAGTGAAAGTGCACATTTATTATGATCATTACTGTCATCATCAGCGTCATCCTAAGATAGTATACAAATATTATACACCAAACGTGGTGGTGGATTCTTTGCATGAATTACTTATGCCAAGCCCATCTTCTCCAGGTTTGGTCACAGATGGATTATCAGTTGAAGATGACAAAACACAAGTTAGCAACCACCAATTGAGCATCCATGGAAAGTGATGGATCAAGGAATACCCCCACCCAAGTTACATACCTACTACTTAAAGAAAAGTGTAACCCCAACCAGGACAGATTGAACTATCTTATCTAGGTCTCCAGTACTCATAACCAATAATAACTCTGCTTTGTGGAATTAAGTTTCAGCTTGTTAACCTTTATTCACCCTGCACTGACTCTAGACACTGGTTCATCACCTCCCCTGCTTCCCTGAGATCAGACAATGGAATCAAGAGGAAAAGCTGTGTGTCATCTGTATCCTGGTGACATCTCAGCTCAAAAACGCCAGATGATTTCATCCAAAGATTTAATAACAATAATAATTTATTATTTATACCCCACCCATCTGGCTGGGTCCCCCCAGCCACTCTGGGCGGCTTCCAACAAAAGACTAAAATACAATAACCTATTAAACATTAAAAGCTTCCCTAAACAGGGCTGCCTTTAGATGTCTTCTAAAAGTTTAGTAGTTATTTTTCTCTTTGACATCTGGTGGGAGGACGTTCCACAGGGCGGGCGCCACTACCGAGAAGGCCCTCTGCCTGGTTCCCTGTAACTCAGCTTCTCGCAGCGAGGGAACTGCCAGAAGGCCCTCGGTGCTGGACCTCAGTGTCCGGGCAGAACGATGGAGGTGGAGACGCTCCTTCAGGTATACTGGACTGAGGCCGTTTAGGGCTTTAAAGGTCAGCACCAACACTTGGAATTGTGCTCGGAAACGTACTGGGAGCCAGTGTAGCTCTTTCAAGACCAGTGTTATATGGTCTCGGCGGCCACTCCCAGTCACCAGTCTAGCTGCCACATTCTGGATTAATTGTAGTTTCCAGGTCACCTTCAAAGGTAGCCCCACATAGAGCGCATTGCAGTAGTCTAAGCAAGAGATAACCAGAACATGCACCACTCTGGCGAGACAGTTCATGGGCAGGTAGGGTCTAAGCCTGCATACCAGATGGAGCTGATAAAAAGCTGCCCTGGACACAGAATTGACCTGTGCCTCCAAGGACAGCTGTGAGTCCAGAATGACTCCCAGGCTGCGCACCTGGTCCTTCAGGGGCACAGTTACCCTATTCAGGACCAGGGAGTCTTCCACACCTGTCCGCCTCCTGTCCCCCCAAAACAGTACTTGTCTTGTCAGGATTCAACTTCAATCTGTTAGCCGCCATCCATCCTCCAGGACCTTCACCGCCTTCACTGGTTCCGATTTGAAAGAGGTATCATCCGCATACTGATGAACACCCAGCCCAAACCCCCTGATGATCTCTGCCAGCGGCTGCATGTAGATGTTGAAAAGCATGGGGGAGAAGACAGAACTCTGAGGCACCCCACAAGTGAGAGCCCAGGGGTCTGAACACTCATCTCCCCCCCACTTTCTGAACACGGCCCAGGAGGAAGGAGCGGATTTGATGTAAATACTCAAAAGCATGAGGGGGGAAATGGAACTTTGTGGTACACCATAGGCCAAAGGCCACAGGGTAAGACAGCGGTCTCCAATCACCACTTTCTGAGTACAGACATCTGTATGGTAATGGAACTGCTGGAAGAATGGTATCACATATACTCATCCAAGCACGATGGCCCAGAAGCATATAACAGTTGATAGTTCTGAAAACTACTGACAGATCCAAAAGAAACAGCAGGCTGGCACGTCAGGTAAGTGATAAAGAGGGATATCAAATCCAAACTCTTTCTTCTTCCCTTGTCCATCTCCCAGATATGTTATCCACCACAGCTATTTGTGCCAAAACAAGGCCTAAAACCAGCCTAGAACAGATCCAAATAATTGGTTTTATTCAGAAAACTCTGGAGTGGAGATGCAACTGCATATTTGAACCTGTAGCTAAAAAATATGAAAGACTGGATACATAGTTAATAACATGGCCTTTCACCATCCAAAAGAGTTCCTCTGGACAACAATGAGCAAATGCAATGGTGGCAGAGGTAAGAGTCTTTACAATCATCACTACCCCAGAGTTGCCTACTTCCAACTCTTCCTGATCATCTTAAACTCCGGAGAAGGATAGTGTGCCATCATCCACAGGGAGTGAACAGATGATCTCCACTGTATTATGCTCAAGAACTAGAGCAAGTGGTATGGCAGTATTAAACTGGATGCTAAAGACTACTACGGTCTCAGAGAAGTTCTGAGCAAGTCTGAGATATGTGAGGAACACATATAAGAGGAAATCTATAAAAGGGAATTGAACTGTCTGCATCAACATTGTTATGGTTGAAGTCAAGAAATTCAGAAGCTTGTGAAATATACATTAGCAATTATTTGATCTCTAGACTGAGTCACCACAAGTCAGTAAAAGTGGGTGGGCAGAATTCTTATGGAGGCAAGCGGGAACTCTACCAAGAATGAAGAGATTGGAATAGATCACCTGCAACGAGACTAGTTTTCCAACTACCTTAGTATGTGCCTCAACTGAGCAAGAGGGAATTGATCCCTGCAGAAGAGGGGTAGGAAACCTATGGCTCTCGAGATGCTGTTGGCCTCCCATCTCCCATCACTCAGGCAGCATGACCAGTCATCAGAGATGACGTGATCAATAGCTCAGCAACATCTGGAATACCACACATTCCCCTCTGCAATAGAAGAATCCTAAAAGGATGGAAGACCATTTGTAATGTTGAACAAGACACAATGCTGAAAATGACACTTATACCAGTCTGAAGAAGGATGAGGAAGATACCAACGGCAGGGTGTCTTTTTGCATCCATTCTTTCTTTCTAATTAATGTGGGAGGAATGGAGGAAGTGGGGAGTTTTACACTTTCAGAAAGACTATCTGCGTCGTGTAGCAGTCAAGTGACTGGGAAACCCCAACACAAACTCTATAGGACTCGGTGTGCTAGCCTTATAGGCAGGAAGCATTACAGGAGACAAGCACCAAAAGGTTGTATATATTACAGCACCATGTTATTCCAGGAGCTTCCTGCTTTTGTTTGCACACTTCCCTCAATCTGCCACCTGCAATACAACTAGAGCTTATTCTCTATACCCATTTTGCTTCTCGTGCCTCTCAGAAATGGCTTTAAGAAGGTTATTCCCGGGAACATCCCAGTAACCACAGCCACCCCCACAGAACTGCAGGTTGTTGAGTTCACACCGATGAGTCAGAAGGGTTTTTTAAAATTCCATTTAAAAAGAAATCACCACAACACTGAAGGGGAAAGGGAAAATAAAAAAGGGAATCAAGTGGAGATAGGCTTCCACGTCTGATGATTCATGCACCCAGAACCATGACTCACACGGCATTACTTTGCCACTGAAACATGGAGGCCAGGCTGATTAGTCATAGTAATGAATTTTTCAAAGAAAGGATTCTCCCCTATAAATAATGATGACTGTCTGGATAGTATTTGTGTGACTCACCTTTCCAGCATGCTGGGCAGCACCAATCGTGTCATCTGAAAAAATAAATAAGAAACAAAAACCTGGTGATTGAGTGGGATGCAGACACCAGATTGAGGGAAGCCTCTCTGCCTCCTCATAAAGAAACCGACACCTCTTCACCTCAAAATAGTCTAGGAGAATTGAAGGCCTTCATTTGTGGAAGTAGCATATTTTTATTCTATTGGTGTCACTTGGTTCTTGTACAAAGCATGTGCAGTGAATCAGATGAACTCATCTGTACTTGTTACAGCACACACCGGTAGTCTGCTCTTCTTTCTTGTTTGTGCTGCTACAGCACCACTGATTAGGGGCTTCTAAATACCATCTTGGTGAAATTATAGTCAAATACCTCATAATACTGATTCTAGGCACTGATTTCTGGTAGACGTACAAGAATTCTAGTTACGCCACCACCATACCACAAAGTTCAAATGATGGCATAAGGACAGTGGAAGCTTCGTGAGGATTATCATAAAGTTTGTATGGTACTGTGATTTAAGGTAGAAAGAGAAACAGATGCTCTTTTGGCTCCATTCTACCTTAGATTCTATGATTCTTCTTAATAGGTACCAACCAATTCTAAAATCCAGCATCACAGTATGCTAAAGTGTGAAAACAGGACAAGCAATGCAATCCACAATGCGGCCTCTATCATCATCTTTAATGGCTGTGAGCCATGGGCAAATCTTGCTGACATGAACTGAAGTGGTCTGGCTACAATGCTTCTTCTTTTTAATGGATTGTGCCAGGTCTAAACAAATCATTGGTGTCATAATCGAAGCAGAATGGGGACAGCCATTTTGTACACATTTTGCATAATGTCCTATCCTACACAATTCCTTTGCCAAGAGATGGCCTTGGAGGATGTAGATGTCCTGGGTCCGTCATGGAGTAAATCGGTGACTTTTGCTGAGTCACACTAATCATAATGTGTAAAGCGGGAATGTAAAAACGACCTATGCCAGACAGAAGTTGCAACAATGTACAAACTTGTATAGCAATTTACATTTTGGGAGCGCTATTCCTAATGTCACCTTTTATAATTGCTATGATAAACTTCTTCTTTTTTAAAGCTGTCATCTCTATACCACTGTATTTGGAGATGGAGGAAAGGATAACCATGCAAACATAACAGAAACAGGGGACCTTGGAGAATTAAATCCAAGCTAAATATGACAAATATAAAGGTATTTCCTGCTTTTATTAACTATCACTTACAGTCTTTCAGTTAAGCATTTTCATGTGGTAATGGGACAAACCATGTAATCATAGTGATTGCAAGGGCAATCAAGAGCTCATGACCACTTCATATGCAGTGTCCACCTGAAACATCTCAGAAAGGCCACATGCTTGAAGCTCTTTGAATACAAGAACAGTCAGTAGATGTGAGCATTTGCACTGGTGTGATGTGCTTATGTGAATCAGTGGGGCTCCTTCCCCAACATCATATTCTAAGGAGGCAGGGGAGATGCCAGGAAGAATGCTTTAGAAATTATAACTAATTTTCAGAACGCCAAGATTATTTTAAAAATGAGCATTGTGGGTAACAAAAGAATAGTTTTGGACCACAGCAGGCTACAGAGAGCAAAATGCTCTCTGATGGATTCCCTCTGATGAACCCTGATGTGCAGGCAGTAGTAACACTCTGAGTGTACCATTGCTTACAGCCACCACTGATGTTTCCCTACAGTGTCCCAGAGCATTCTGAGAGAGAAAGTTGTGTTATTATCAGCTGCAGAGTCACTTCCAGAGGCTACTAAAGAAAACAGACTTATGTGGAAGCTATTGCTCCAGGATAGCAATTGTAACAACCTGACAAAACAGGAGTGTGAAACTGCACCTACAATAGGCAGACTGCATGGATGAATACGATATTTATGACAAACAACTGAATTACTTGATACTGACAAATAGAAAAAGGTGCCATATCCTCTCCCCCCACATCTACACAAGGTGGCACTTACCTTGCACACAGATATGATATTAATATTCACCAGCTTGTCAATTGTCTATAAGAAAAAAAACCCCAATGAAATACGGTACTATAGCAGGATACCATAAATTCCTGATTTAAACAAAAACGGCAGCAATTGAGATGTATGATGTGCTTATTTACTTAAGTCAGATGAAGAAGCAGTTGTTAAATTTTAAAAATAACACAAAAGTTTCCCACTATCACATCAACTATACTCAATACAGAACACTTCACAGGTATGCAGAATAAGTACCTTTGCTCTGGTAATAAATGCTGTTGAATAACTTACACTGTTTCATGTGATAAGGAAGAGAACTGGACAGAGATGCTCCTTAGCTTCATAAATTCTTGGCAGATAATACAAATCTCAGCAAACTCTGATTTACCTCTGAGTGGCTAGAAATAAGCCTGTATTTTCTCAAGTTTTGAGAAAATATTTTGGCTTATTGCTAGTCAAACCAAGCCAAGGAAAACCCAAGTGGGTGGAAATAGGTTTTATCAACTTGATAGCATGGTGCAGTAAAACCCATTCAGCACTATGGTTAACTCAGAATTGCTCAGAATTGCTCATGTGAAATGCATGGCACTAATATTCCAAATTTTATGAGCAGTTAAAACAATCAAGATAATTTAAACATGAAGTAGTTGCAAAACACAAAATCGGTCAATTCTTGGTCTTAGTGACTAGCATGGTAGCCTCAACTGTTGATTCTTCTGTATCAAAATAAATACCATAATAAAACTGAGAGGAAACCTGCCTAACCACCTTAAGAAACAGATATGCAAAAGTAAGTTTAACTTAAAGCCATCTTAGCAGTATTTAGGAGATGGGACTGGGTTGTGACAACAATCTAAATCCTTGAATTTGGATTACATGATCACTGTGAACCTCAATTTTAGTATTCAATTATTTATGAGACTGCATAGAAAACTCTTTGTTCTTTTTGCTACCATATTCTACCTTATTTTTATCATGTTTATAGAAATACATCCAAAGTTGTGTCTTTTTTTTTTTTTTTACAAGCCTATCTTAAAAATTTAAAAGAGGGGCAAGAGTAGAAGACAATACTTACTTTATCTAGGTCTGGAACGTCAAGGAAGAATTCAGGATAAGTATATGACATACCCACATTATTTACTGGGGGGGAAATAGAAGGGTTAAGTTCACACAAGGTATTACATTCTGAAATGAAATGTGTACATCACTATATTCAGCTTTTAAATAATCTGAATTCACTTGATGCCTAGACTCTCAGTTCCTGGTTGGAAAACTCTTGATACTTCAGATTATAAATTCATCTGAGTTTCTTACAATATCAACAATGTGGACACAGAAAATCACTGAACAACGGCAAAGGAGAGGCAACATAACTTATTCCAGGGGTCAGCAAGGTTTATCTGAGATCCCTCCATGGGCCGGATTGCGTGAGCGCCCGTGATTTTTGGCATCTGCGCAGATGTGATTTTCGGCGCCATGAAAATTAGTCCCCGCGCCGCGCTGGTTTAACGCAGTGCGCAAGCGGGTAGCTTGGTTTGGGGGTGGCTCGTGGGCCGGTCAAATGACCTCCGCGGGCCACTTCCAGCCCATGGGCCTTAGGTTGCTGACCCCTGACTTATTCTGTTAAAGGCAACTCCAGTATGCTGGTGACATACTTCTACATAACATCTGAATCAGGAGGGGCTGTGAAAGCTTTTAATTGGTGTCTAGATGCAGTGATGGACTGGATAAGGGCCAATAAACTGTGTTTGAATCCTGGAAAGACAGACGCTAAAGAGGACTCAGTGGAACTTCAACTGGTCCAAAATGCAACAGCCAGATTACTGGCTGGGGTTCGATTTAGAACTCATATAATCCCTATTTTAGATCAGCTGCATTGACTACCAGACATTTTGGAACCCATTTCAAGGTGCTCATTTTAGTATTCAAAACCCCTAAACAACTTATGTTCCAAATATCTCAAAGACTACCTCCTTCCCTACAGGCCCTCTTGGATGTTGAGCAGGAAAGGGGCCCTTCTTGGTAATTCCAGTGCCCTCAGAGGTTCAGGATGGCGGTGGCCCGGGAGAGGGAAGGAATTCTGTGTGGCTAAGTTGTGGAATTCCCCACAGAGATGCATCTATTTTATAGTTATTATATACTTCCCATTGAATGCTGAAGATGCACCTTTGGCACTCAAGATAAATATTTTCAGCACCCACCCTACTCGTGTGAGTGCAATTTTTTAGAATGTTTTTATGATGGAGGGTAAGAGATTTAAATATTAATAATAATAGGCTGTCAGAAGAGTTGATCTCTACTTTTTTTACTCCATTTTGCAAAATTTCTTCATAGAATACCTTTATCTTTGTTTTGCCTTTTTGTGTGCATTATGTCCAATGCCAATAAACTTTCCACTTGACACTTGCAATGATACCAAGCGATAGTTTATTTCATTATCAGAAATTAACATTCCAAGTTTCTGATCATAAACTGTATCACAGCATCCACTGTGATTCTGTTCATTAGAGATGACTGCGGAAGAGTAGGTATTTATGACACAGTGAGTCATTTTGGGAAGAAAGTAACCTGCAAAGGGACAGTATTCTTACATCAGTCCCAAGTCAGATCATCATCAGTACATTAGATGGCAGTATAAACCAACACACCGCACTAGTTCTTTGAAAACCGTTCATAAAGAATTTTGGGAGGTAGATGAAGAGGTAGAGTGAAAGAATAATGCAGGAGAAACCTCGTTAATAGCGTTCTTATTACATTAAGCATTCTATGTTTTCAGTAACAATTACTGGCTTTTTGAATAGCTTTGCTTGCTCCTGTGCTATTTTGAGGTACATTATACACAGATTCAACAAATGAAATCATTCCATAAAGCTGTTTTCATACCCTTCATATTTGTGAAATTGTACCCCTCCCTCCATCCCCAATCAATTGGCAGAATATGAAATTTACTGAGCATTGTTTAAATTTAATTTTTCAATGGAACAATATAGTGTCCCCAAGTTTTCTTATCAGACTTACTGCTTACACTAATGTAGACACTCCAATTTATCAGGGAAAACCTCCCATCATCTCCCAATGTGCAAAGAGAATTGGGAAAATCTAAATTAATTTTAACTGCTAGTGTGAGCTTCTCTTGCTTCATTTACTGGTGCTTTATTCCTAAATTCAATATGCATATACTGTCTGACAGAATGGTATAGGACCACTCCATGTGGCGTAGCACTTAACTTTGTGTGGAGCAAATGAAATCTGTACTGGTCTGCTATGGCTTCCATTTGCCATGCAGTCAAGTGGGGGACCAGTTTGGGCATTGCAGGAGAAAGTTGCATGGTATGAATACAATGAATCACTCAGAAAAATAGACTTATGAATACACATCCTCAAAGAGGAGATCCTGCACTTGGTGAGTCCTGGTTTAAGCTGATAATCCTACTGAATTGAAAGTATCCCCCAAACAGTTGCCATTTGCTCCTGGCATGTTCTCACACTGTAGGTGGGCAAGTTAATCTTTAATGATCTCAGAGCAACATGCAGGGCATTATCCCATTTTAATGTCACTATGACATAGGCTGGGCTGAGAAGAAGAGACTTGGAAATAGTCCAAGTCTAGAACTCCAGTCAATATGGCATAACAACTTTCCAACATATTATGATGAACTATTTAAGTAGCCAAATGTCAGCAAAACAGATGAATGGAAGATATGGAAATTGATTTCAGCTAATGTAAGCAGGGCACTTCTCACTTCAGGGACCTTGTGGTGACAGGGCAGAAACAGATCAATCAATGCCCAAGGGAAGAGGAGTACCAACTTATTTTTTCCCAGTCTGTCCTCCAGTTGGTGAACAATATAAACTAGTTTGCTGTTCCTCAGTAATATCATTTCTGCAGTTGCAGACTCCAATGCAACAAATTAATAACTTATGAATCTGGGATCACCTATATTTGATCATACTCTGCAAAATGCTTCATTTCCAGAAGCAGATATCTAGCCTATAACACTGAGTGAATACGTGGATGCAGATTTACATATATTCTACCACTCATACAACCGCTGGATAACTCAGTTGGTTTTAGAACGTGGTGCTGATAATACCAAGGTCACAGGTTCGATCCCCATATGGGATTCCTGCACTGCAGGAGGTTAGACTAGATGATCCTCAGTGTCCCTTTCCAGTTCTACAATTCTATGATATACTCTAGTCAGAAAGGAGATGCAACATATTACTGGAATTCAAATGTATCTGAAGAGATTTCCTTAATATGGCTCAGAATAAAGAGTGCAAGACAAGCAGGAGCCTGAACAATAAGAAAGACTTCTATTAAAGTCCTCCAATCCTAAAGGAACCATCTAAACCACTAAACAAGAATACTAATCTCTTACTGAGGAGGTGAAAAAATGTCTGGGGCCTAGACTCTATATTATTAGCCATATTTAAGCAATCACACATGCAGTAGAAGGCAGGGGCAAAATGGAAGAGGTTAAGCTTTGAAGCTGCTTTAGCCTCAATACTTGAACTTCACCATGCTGGAAAATACAAGAAAACTACTACAAAGGTATCTAGATAGATGTCTGAAGCATGAAGGACATAAGAGAGGAGGTGACCTTTTTCGTAGGATAAGCTACTCTTGATAACAGTGCAAATTCTTCCACTTCTGAACAACTGTTTTATGAAGCACAGAGGCTTCAAAGTTTATTCCAAAATGACTTGTTGCTATGAACTGAGTAATTTTATCTACTTTCCTTGGGAGCAAAGATTCCAAGAATACAGCAAATAACATGGAAGTTAGAGTAAGATACAAACCTAGGACACCAATCTCGAGACCTTCCAGGCCTGCTTTTATGTTTCTGTAAATAGATTCACGATCTTCAAAGTCAGCAGCAATGGTTTTCGTTTCCACCTTGAACCGCTCTCCTGAAATAAAGCACACACACAAATATAAGCATGGATTATTTTACAACAAACATGGAAAACTTTAAAATCCCAATGCAAACCTCTTCTGTTAAGTCCTAATGGGTCAAATAAACTAATCATCAGCACATGGCATGCATTTAAAGTTGTTCTTACCAGAATGAAACTACCAGTCTTTTGCCATTAAGACCAATTTTAAATGATCCATCTGACATACTGGTCCAAACGAAGTTCCAACATAAGCATCCTTGTGAAGGAATAATATACTGCATAGATTTGTCCTTTGTATTAAAAACACTGTCCAATGGGAGCAAAATATTCAGCTGAATGAAAGTAGTTTCCTAGTGTTTGTTAGTGACAGGGATAAGAGTATGTCACTCTTAAGTATGTTCACATAATCCATAGCTCCTCCAAACAACATGGCTTAAGCATTCTGAGGGACTTAAGTGTATGTAAGGAGAGATCCAACACATTGTTACAGAAAGCTGTACCTTATCGCAGTCATTTCAGCTTGGGGCGGATCAAAAATGTTAAGTGTTGATTACAGAAACTGCTTGCAAGAAGGTGCAACCTGATTTGGGGGGCATACTGCATTGTATGCCAAATCTTCCATACAACTGCAGTCTTATGCAGAGCTAAGACATATCGCATAGAAAAGCTTTATGCATGGGGTGGATTTTTTTTTAATGTTAAGGGCCGCATTCCCTTGGAAGTAATCTGTCAAGAGCTACATGCTGGTGATAGACTGAGTCAAAGTCATACGCGGGAAATACCATCCTTTTTCTCTCCCAGCCCCCACCCCTCAGCAAAGTCTGAACTAAGGGCTTCCTCCTTTTCCTATCACTCCACCCATTTCAACTCTTTCCTCCACCTGCTCAGTTTCTCTGGCTCCTCACACCCCCATGAAATTAAATTTGTTAGTAACTTTATCTTGTCCACGGCAACCCAAAGAGACTTAGAACCAACCAACCAACCAACCAACCAAACAAACAAACAAACAGACTTGTCAGACCACCCTATGAGATAAATGAATCTCTCCATTTTGTAGACTGAACAAAATGGTACAAAATTGGGACAGCTGTCCACAATTCTTATAAGTAGAATGTAATTCTTGCCTTGTTTTCTTGGGTCTCAACTGAACAGTCTGAATCAATTCTGAAACTAAAGGGATGAAAATCTAAACTTCTCCTTTATGGTGTAGGCCACTGAGAATCTGTGCTTAGAGGGTTCTCTTCCTCCCTGTGTCACTATTCATTCATGTATCCATCATCAAACAAAGAAAAAAGTTTTATCTGCTTTCCTCCCTGCCTCAGTTGCGGCCACAAAAGACAACGATTCTGTGTTTTCTGTGGCTGCCACTGAAAGACTAGCGAATTCTTTGACTTTCAGTACCACTAATACATAGGTCACCAAGTTCTGCTTCTATCCCATACTTTCCCCCACTCAACCCTTCTTCATGGACAGATGGATGGCTCACTATTGCCTCAAACACAAAATAATCCATCACCGAACTTATTTTCTTCTAAGTATTCCTCTCACTCTATATCCTCCATATTCTCTGGTACTACCATTGTTTTATTGCTGATACCCCCCTTTGTTTCCTCTATTCAGGAAGCTGAGTTATTCCTCACTGAAACATTTTAGGCATTGAAGAAACTATGGTATTACCTTCATACAACAGTAGGGTATGTATTTTAGTTTTTCAGGTGTTACACACCTCATGTTTTTGTTGCAAACATACTAGTTTCCTGTAGTATAAATATGTGGCCCAGAGCACACTATATCATGGTTCGTTTGAAGAGAAAAAGTTGTGAGTGCTAGTTCTTTTTTAACGAAGGATTGTAGTTTATTGCTCCCACAGATGCTAGGGAGAAAGTGCAGCCGGAGCAATTCAGCAGTGTGCACTAACAAGTTGCTCTTTTATGGTAAGCCCTGGTTTATGGCTTACTAAGTTGTCAGCATGTGGCCTTTGTCAAATGATGCATGCTCTAGAAATCATCCGATTTGACCGCAAGCTTATTCCCTATCATTTTCACTTCAGTCTTTTCACCTTGATCCAGACCTCTGCTGATAAAATAACCCACCTCTCTCATTGTACAGACCATGCAACACCCCTTTAATCACTATGCACTCTTCTTGTCCACTCTCTCTCCCAACAAACTCACTGTTCTTGCCTTCAGTGCCTCCATGATCTTTCCCCCTCCAATTTCCCCCACCACTCAACTCCAAAGGGGTTTTTTAGAGGCACGTGGGGGCAGTGGTAGATCAGTTATGCAAACTGTTGAATGGAATTCATAGTATTATAAAATCATAAAAGATGCAATAACCCTACACATTACTTCATTCTAAGTGATTGTTTTAACAGACACTGGTAAGGTAAAATACTTCAAGTAATTCATAAAAATAGTTGTGAGTTTAAAGGACAAAGTCATTCCTAGGTTTTTCCCAACCAAGAAAAACAATTGCTTATGCATTCATGCAGACTTGTGAGCCTAATTGTATTCCGTTGCTTGCTTCCCCCTCTCCCTCCTAATATCCCTAATGGCAGATGCAACTGTTTGCTTCCTACTTCATCTTTCAGAACAGCTGCATTGTTTATAAATCCCCAGGGATATGCTGCTATGCAAAATAACGACGTAAATAGCATTAAGTCCCTACTGCAGCAGTGGTCTTGTGATCACGTCAGAAGAAAATCAAGTTCAACATCTCTGTGAAGGGAGGTGGAGGCTTGCTATTTTTAGCAACATCTGCTCTATCACTACACATTCATGTTTGAAATCTTGCGGTCAGGGTATTTGCAGATAAATATATCAATGGACACTACCCATTCTCCTTTCTTTGTTATGAAATACTTGAGGTTTTTACTGCTAGCAAAAGTAATAACCGAAGATTTAGAAATAATCCAGGATTTAGAAAAAGAGTAACATTAATATGCACTGCTACATAGCTTTTTCTGCCATGAATGCACAATTTATCAATGGCTTGGTTAAAAAATCCCACATGTACTGCAGTGAGGAAAGTTGCCAAGTTGAGTGAGAGAAACAAATATTTCATATCATTTACTGGGATGATCAGCCCAAAGGAGCTACACAATGGACATGGGGCCTGCTCAGGATTTAACACATTCCTATTTATCTACTTGCACTGGTGTGCTTTTGAATTGCTAGGCTGGCAAAAGCTGGGACAGAGCAATGGAACTCACTCCGTCATGGGGATTTGAACCGCCGACCTTCCTATCAGCACGCCCAAGACACTCAGTGGTTTAGACTCCAGCACCATCTACTCAGTAGCTGGAGCAGGGAGCTCCACCAGTCGTGTGACACAGGTGTCACTCTGTGGGCAAGAGCCAGTGGAAAGTTGAGAAGCCTAAGCGTAGGTATGCCTCTGTCCAATCCAACACCCACTCCAGCAAATATACTCCTAGACAAGCAACTCTTTAAAAACTCAATAGCACCACATATGTATTATGCTGTGTTTTATCATACCTGACAGGATACAACTGCTTCAGTTCTACAGACATGGAATGGGGTAAGCAGAGAGAAGGAATCATCCTCCCTTCAATCCACTGAAAACATGGCAAAAACCTTGATTTTGACAGGTGGGAAAATTAATTTCATTCAAGTAGTTTACACCAGTTTGAATGATTTGGCACTGGAAAGAAAAATACTGTGTTCATTTCCAAGTTCTCCCACAAGGTTATCGTGATGCTGCTCATGTCTGAGTGTGTTCCTCATGCTTATGGTAATGAATGCTATTTTTAGCCTTGTTGAAAGGCAAACACCTGCCCAGAGGTTCCTGCACAGATTGCACCATATATACAATCTAGTGGATTGCTAAACTCAGTTTTAAACCTGGATACTTTATTCGAACACTGCATTTTAAAATAATCATTACTTATAGCAACAGTTGTTGAAAATGTCCATTAGTAGCTAGACAAGCTCTTTTTATAATAAAAATTCAAACTATGGTATGAATAAATGTGCACCCATTTACTAGCACTTACCGACCGTATTTTTTGCCCTATAGGACGCACTTTTCCCCCTCCAAAAATGAAGGGGAAATCTGGGTGCGTCCTATGGGGCGAATGCAGGCTTTCGCTGAAGCTTGGAGAGCGAGAGGGGTCGGTGCGCACTGACCCCTCTCGCTCTCCAGGCTTCAGGAAGACATCCGCAGCCTAGGCAGCCCTGCGGGAGTTCCCGCAGGGATGTCTAGGCTGCGGATAGCAGCCTGCTTCCCGGAGCATCGGGCGCCCTGAAAGCAGAGCGCCCGGCGCTTCGGGAACACATCCGCAGCCTAGGCAGCCCTGCGGGAGGTCCCACAGGGCTGTCTAGGCTGCGGATAGCAGCCTGCCGCCCGGCGGGCAAGGCGCCCTGAAGCAGAGCGCCCCGCCCTCCGGACAGACATCCGCAGCATGGGGAGCCCTGCAGGAGTTCCCCGCAGGGCTCCCCACGCTGCGGATAGCAGCCTGCCGCCCGGTGGGTGGGGTGCCCTGAAGCAGAGCGCCCCGCCCTCCGGACAGACATCCGCAGCGTGGGGAACCCTGCAGGAGTTCCCCGCAGGGCTCCCCACGCTGCGGATAGCAGCCTGCCGCCCAGCGGGCGGGGCGCCCTAAGGCAGAGCACCCTTCGCGCCGGGCATACTTCCGCAGCATGGGGAGCCCTGCAGGAGTTCCCCGCAGGGCTCCCCACGCTGCGGATAGCAGCCTGCCGCCCGGCGCGCAGAGCACCCTGAAGCAGGGTGCTCCTCGCGCCGGGCAGACATCGGCCAGCCCCACAAGCTCGGGGGACAGCAGGGAGGCGCAGCACCGCCATCCCACTGTTCCTCGACCTGGTTCGGTTTCCCCGACCTGCTTTGGGGGGGGAATAAAGGGGGGGAAATTTCCTTTATTTCCCCCCCAAAAAAACTAGGTGCGTCCTATGGGACGGAGCGTCCTATGGGACGAAAAATACGGTAATAAGACTATGGGGATATATTTACTACAACAATGACAGACCCAATGCAAACTAAGTTCCCTTTAGTAAACATGTTGAACTCTTAAGTAATACCACATTAAACAGATTTGTTACCACCATTACAATTATACTAATGTTGTTTTGTAATATTTTGTCTGATTCTCTTCTGATCATCTTCTCCAATCTGTTTTGTTACTTGGTTTTATTGGTTTCTACTGTTGTTAAGACTTAAACAAGATATGGGGTATGTATCAATAAAGTGTGAGGTCTCATCATATTTTTCAAGAAATTGCATACTCTTGATGGTTCACACAATTTAGGAAAAGCACGAACTACAAGACATCTCCTACTTCTATTCTATCACTTGCAAACATGACAGAAAATTTCTTCCTGAACCCAAATTTATACAATTTTGACATGAAATAAAATACTAATCTACTCAGAGTAGATTTTTTTGTTTAAAAAAATCTGCCAGCAGGGCCTTTCTCTATTTCAGCCACCACCTCTTACCATGGAAATAGTACATGGCAGAGGGGAAAGGGTGGCTACAAAGCTTTCTAGCATCAATAGGCCACAATGATGGTTTCAGATCTTTTATAAATGTAGACATTGCTGCTTGTAAAACAGAGTTCTCCATCCCCAAACCTGTTTATAGTATTCCAGAATTGTAAAACTCTTATTCTGGGTTGTTGTTTTTAAAGGTTGGCCGCTCATAGATATTAACGCTTATATATTTGAAACACACACACAGCTTGAGTGCGGTCCATAGACCCAAAATACACAGTACAACAATACTTAAGCTCTTTAACAACTTTCCCCACTCTATTTCAAAAAGCTCTCGTGATATGAATTCAATGTGAATGCATCCCTTTTCACCTTCTGCCTAGAATTATCAAGCGTGGGTCCCCCATTTCCTATTATAAATATATATTATACACATAATACATTATCACAGAGAATTCAAGCCGGTCTTCCCTGAATAGCTGTAGGATAAGATGTAAGAATTTCTGGACATCCAAAGAAAACAAATACTGGAAGATTCAAAACAGACAAAAGAAAAGCTGTTCTTCACGCAACACATAAGTTAAATTCTGGAATTCACTCCCACAAGAAATGATGATGATCACCAACTTGGATGGTTAAAAAGAAAGTAGACAAATTCATGAAGATTAAGGCTATCAATAGCTAGTAGCCAGATTGGCTATGTTCTCCTCCTACTGTCAGACATAGGATGCCTCTGAATGCCAGGTGCTGGGAACACCATATTCCAATATCGTTTTCGTTTTTTTGTTTTTACAAAGAAATCAACAACTACTTCCAAACTCAACAACATGCTAATTAGTTTATTCTATTTCAGAAGCTTTTAATTATTGTCAATTTATGTTTTTGACTTTGTTTTATGGTTTGCATTATGTTTTCTATTGGATTTTGTACACTGCTTGGGTATTTTTTTTTAAATTTAGAATGGTTACAAATTGGGGAGGGGGGATTCCAAGTACCCAGGTTCTTGGTAGTTCTAGAAAATGTGTTGATCATAGTATATATAACAGTATGTGTGATTTGAGTTTGATCGTTTTAACACTGCTATTTAACCTTTATTTAACTGCTGTTTTATTAAAGCTGGCAAACTGATTATTCCTGCAGAGTAAAAGTGTTTCCTGGTGGTGTGTCAAGTATGTTTTGAATATAATTTTGGAAATAAACTTAACCTGCCATAAACTAGCTAATATTTTCTACCACCATGTTTCTGGCACTCGTCTCCTGCCAACTACATTCTAGGGGAGACTGTAACTTATATTCATTCTCAGCTACTTACAATGATGATTACATGGTATTTTTACTGTGCTTTTAGGTTTTAGCTTATTTATGGAGAAGGAACAAAAGCAGAGCACTTGTGACATGTACATGCAAAAACTGATGAAAAATATATACAGGTGCAATACTGTTCAATTCTTAAATTTTCCAGTAGGACCTTCTACTGGTTCTAAGGTCCATCCACAAATGGGCACCTTTAAATCAAAACTATATTTTTAATGAGTCTTATTCATCTCTATCATGTGCTCTCTTTCTTTCAATTAAAACGCTGAAGCCTTTCTTCATAGGGGAATTGCTCCAGCCCCCTATTGTTGCCCCTTTCTACATTTTTTCCAGCTCCACAATATAATTTTTGAGGTGTGGTGTCCAGAACTGCCAACCCTGCATTATATAACTTCACTGGGAGAACTGTCAATTTATATCTACTCTCTGCTTTAACCAGTTTTTACTTCATAAGAGGACCTGAGCTGTGAAAAGGCTTTTTGGAAGCTTGTGCTTGCACGATGTCTACTGGATCCACCCAATGTAAATGCTGATTAACCTCCTAGCTTTCAAATGTTGCTTAACCTTTAACTCCCATAATCCCATTGACCATAATAGTTGAGTTCAGCAACATCTGGAGGGGCAGGTGAAAGGCAGGGAAGCCATGAATAGGACTTCTGCTGATGAGGCTCATTGGTTGAATCCCATCATCCCTTGTTTTAGCTCTCAATAATCTAGTTGAGAAAAGACCAGAAAACTACTTACTTATTTCCTTGGCAACCTGATCCAATTTTTCCTGAGATCTGCTGATAAGAACCACCTTCATTCCACGCCTTGCTAACTGAAAAAAATAAGGGCAAAAGTCTAAGAGTGCCAGTTACAACTCTATGGTAGCATTTTATTGATCAACACCACTCTTTATACAAGAAATTCAATTACAGAATTAGATCTAAAGATATCTCCTCTCCATCAGGAGGAAGTATTTGGCTCAAATTGGATTAACAAATAACAGAAAAAAGGAATTACAAATATAGATTTGACATAAAGAGTAGGAAATTAGTAATCTATGGTAACTGAGCAAAGATTCATAATTAAGATGGACACTGAGCTAGATCTCTTCAAAGACACCAATCCACTGATCTAACCAGATCACTTGTGAATGTGTGAGCCAGGATAGGGAAACTGAACTGGCCAATGGAGCAAATCCTTATCTCACAAGGACCAAACTGGTCAGGTTGGAAGGGCCACCCATCTACCAACCCACCTGATGTCATAGTGACATCAGGTGTCGACTGTTAGAACTTTTTACAAAGAACCCTCCTTAGTGCTTTGAATTGCTGCTGATCAGCAGGCTTGAAATTACTACCTATCAGTTGATGGATAGTGACTTCAAGCCTACTTTCTGCTGGGATTAGGGAACTCCAACATGAGTTCCACAGGGAACCTGGTGGTGCAGCAGATCCTTCTGCATCTCTACCTGCCCCACATCTGACATCACATATATCAGATCGGCCTTGGGGGCCAAACTGGGACCAGTGCTTAGTCAAATGTGGCCATTGGGCCAGGAGTTCTCCACTCCTAGTGTAAACACAGGCATTAATCCTCAGATGAGGTTTTAGGTATCCAGAGGTACAAATATTACCTGACTTGGCTGCCAAACCTTAACACTGAATCCAAAGTACTATGTGTAAGCAGACACTGTACCTAACACAAATGAAGACACTGGAAAGGATATCAAACTGTTAATGGGTCATGTTTTAAGGATCAAAGTCCTTTTTTTCTTTCGTTTTATGCAATATGCTTGTCTTGCAAATATGGGTGGAATCATACACAGCCATACCTCGGGTTACAGCTGCTTCAGGTTGCGTTTTTTCAGGTTGCGGACCGCCAAAACCCGGAAGTACTGGAACGGGTTACTTCTGGGTTTCGGCGGTCGTGCATGCGCAGAACCACTAAATTGCGCTTTGCACATAAGCACCGAATCGCAACCCACGCGTGCACAGACGTGGGTTGCGAACGTGCATCCCACACGGATCATGTTCGCAACCCAAGCATCCACTGTATTCATATGATAGCCAGACAACAAGACAGGAGTCTTCGTAGAGCAAACTATAATGCACATTATATATAATCAGGGCTTTTTTCAGCCAGAATTCACCAGAACTCAGTTCTGGTACCTCTCAGGTGGGCGCCCTTGCCATTATAAGAGAACAAGGGAGGAGTTCATAGTGAGTTGTGGCACCTTTTGTTTTATAGAAGAATAGAACTGTAATGAACTATAATGCACATCTGACCTGAATAACGGATACTGTAACATGCACCAGAGCCATCTCAGAGTTCATTTAGATTGTTAGACTGCCATGCTAAGTTAGCTCTGTTACACAAACAGTGTTTCCACGCAGGTTATACTTTGCCACATTATCCCTGTTAAACAACAATTTGCCTTATCATTCAGGCAAAACAAGAACATGACATACATACAGCACAGGATACAGACTCCAATTTGTTGTATGCATGTCAAAATGCACAAAGGTACAATATGTTACATGAATCACAACTTACCTCTTCTGCATATGCCTTTCCAATTCCATCAGTAGCTCCCGTGATAACTATAAAACATGAAAGGCGGAAGAACAGAGATGTTAGTGTGTTTACAAAGCTTATGTCATAATGCCATAAATTCTTCGTCTTCTAGAAGTGATACAAGTTTTCTGGAAAAGTTGACTTAGGATTTTTTTTTAATGTTGTCTATCAATTCAAATCCAATTTAGCATGTATGTCTTATGAACAATTAATGAAAGCTTTACAACACACAACGTTAATTTTACTTGTTATGTTGTAATGGCACCTCTAATTCGCTCCTTCAATCCAAGCATTATACTGATTCAGCATTTCTTCATCTGAAAAATAATGCTTGCCTCCTTCGGATTAGGATTCAAGACTACTGTGAATAAATTAGTATTTTTATAGTATTGAACTGGAAGAAAACAGTACAAAGGAGAGTGATGTAAGAATAAATAAGACAGTATTTGATAGAAGCAATTCAGCTATGTCACCACTCAAACATGAAGACTGCAGAGTAGTCTTGGGCAAACCGCTTTCATGAAAATTATCAGTGCTGCTTTATTCAGGGAGAGGCTGTTCCAGCTATATATTTGAATCCACACCCTGCCCTCTATTCCCCAGATGGAGAAGTAGACAGAAAACTGTAAGTGATGTTTCGTTTTGGGATTAAGAGGGTGAACTCTTATAATATGTGAAGAAAAATGCAGGGCAAGATTTCTGGAAAAGTTGATAGCTCTAGTGTTGGAAGAATAGCAGTAGTCTTGCAGAAGTCACATGGTTTTACATGTAATCAAAATTTCAACAATACTTCCACTCACTATCTTGTGAAATAACTGCTAATAAATAGATAACTAACAGATTATGTTGCAAATGTGGGAAATCAGCATTTCTCTTCTCAGTTATAAGTAGCTGCAAGTAATATTCCAATATTACTTAATGAGAATCTATATTAAATGCAGCTTTTAGCAGGAGTTAACAAAACAGTCTTCCAAATCAAGGCATGTAACAGAAAATGGTAACACTGCATAGGTGTGAATTATGTAAAACGGGGGGGGGGGGGGACCAGCTGCTATTTCCACTACATTACAAGAAGCTTGTGAAAGGGAAACAAGTCATACTAGCCCTTCAACACAACAAAAACTGGAAAGAATAGAGACAAGTCCTGGTTGGCATCAAATAATGCCTCATTTAATAGAGATTATATAAACACTGGCGTCTGACCAACACTTTCTTCCAAGATTATCTGAAGCCCACTAAAGCATTTTAGTTTGTGTTAGTTAAAAACATTTTACTATGTGTTGTGTGCATGTGTTGCTAGCCTGGAAGAAACTTATTTTTAGTAAGAGTCCAATCAACCTTATCAAAATCAAGTATCAAAAATAGACTGGAGGAACACTTGAAGCAAATACTATTTTTAGCTGCTCTGCCTATTCCCTGTCGTTACACACCAAAGAGAATGCTTAGTTATTCCAGACATGTTCTCCTCATGACCCGTTTTCCCCTCAGAACACCTGAATGCAGAAAACACTCAATTGATTAAAGATTAATACTGCCGCAAACTGTGACAGCTGCCTTTTGTCTGAGGTTTTTTGAGGAGGGGCGAGTATATGCAATGACAGAGAGCTTGCATCAGTATTCCTCTTGGGATCTATTGCATGGAAAGAAAATTGCTATTTCAATTCCCCTTTGTTGCTAAAAATAGCTACCCCAATTGATTCAAGCAAACAGGGCACCAGCTTAGCAATGCCAAATTTAGAAGGCACTGAAGTCCCTAGAAGTGAACGCTAATGCAGTCTAACACATGCCAGCTCATATTTTAACAAGAACAAAGAAGATAAGCATGCAGACTCTGCAAGTTAATAAGACAGCAGCAACACAATACATTTACTGAACGGAAAATCTGGTGCAGAAAATGAGACAAATGTGTGCTTCTAAACCTCCTATTTCTCACTCAAATTGCAACCACAAATGTTCAGATTTTGCATATTCTCACTTCTCTTTGGCACCCACAGTGCATTTCATATGATAGATTATAGGCATGATAATATGTGGAAGTCAGATCTTGTGGCAAGCCACTGAAGGTTCAGGAACTGTCTAGAATAGTGTGGGTTGGGGCACTGGGAACTATAATGAAAGGGGACTCTTGGCATGAGAAACTTTGCAAGAGAACCCTTATGCTCACTTTTCTTCGGATTCGGAGCACACAGTTTTTTAAAAAATGAACAGTGATAGAATATGTACAATCATGTTGGAGTGCTGTGGGTTAGAATCGTAGAGTTGGAAGAGATCCTGAGGGTCATCTAATCCAATCCCCTGCAATGAAAGAATCTCAACCAGAGCATCCATGGCAGATGGCCATCCAACCTCTGCTTAAAAACCTCTAATGAAGGAGAGTCCACAGCCTCCCAAGGGAGTCAATTATGGAAAGAATAAGAAAGCAGTGTTAAGGAGTGGAATTTGCCACCACAAGATGAGGTGATGACCACCAACTTGGATGGCTTTAAAAGGGGTTTAAACATATTCATGGACCCATGGCTACTGGTCATCTACAGCTACTACCTCAATTATTTGAGGCAGTATACTTCTGAAGACCAGTTGCTGGAGAAAAAGTGAGGGCTAATGCTGTAATCCTCAGGTCCTGCTTACAGGCTTTCCACAGGCACCTGACTGGCCAGAGGGTGAAAAGGATGCTGAACAAGATTGGTCTTTGATTTGAACCAGCCGAGCTTCTCTGAGGTTCTGATGTACACTCGCCCCTTGGTGAAAGATCACAGAATTGTAGAAATGGAAGGGACACAAAGGTCATCTAGTCCCCCTTCAATGCAGGAATCTCAACTAAAGCATCCATGACAGATGGTCATCCAACCTCTGCTTCTCCAAGGAAGAAGAGTCCACCACCTTCCGAGGGAGTCTTGTCCACTGTTGAAAAGCTCTTACTGTCAGAAAATTCTTATGGATGTTTAGTTGGAATCTCCTTTCTTGTACAGTGGTACCACGGGTTACAGATGCTTCAGGTTACAGACTCCGCTAACCCAGAAATAGTACTTTGTTAATAACTTTGCTTCAGGATGAGAACAGAAATCGTGCAACGGCAGCAGCAGGAGGCCCCATTAGCTAAAGTGGTGCTTCAGGTTAAGAACAGTTTCAGGTTTAGAACGGACCTCCAGAACGAATTAAGTTCTTAACCAGAGGTACCACTGTAACTTGAAGCTGCAGAGCAGGAGAACACAAGCTTACTTCATCTTCCATGTGATAGGCCTTTATATATTTGGCTATTATATCTCCTCTCAGTCTTCTCTTCTCCTGGCTAAACATACCCAACTCCTTCAACTATTCCTCATATGGCTTGTTTTCCAGACCCTTGATCATCTTGGTTGCCCTCCTCTGCACACGTTACAGCTTGTCAATTTTCTTAATTGTGGTTCCCAGGAACTGAAAGCAGTACTTTAGGGGGAGTTTGACAGAATAGAGCAGTACTATTATATCCCTTGATCTGGACACTATACTTCTGTTGATGTTTGTTTGTTTGTTTTTGCTACTGCATCACTCTGGCATGAGCCAGGAAACATTTTATTTGGAGATTCCTTGTCACGAAGGCAAGAAATGAACAAAAGGAAGTTAAATAGATTCTTTTTTAGTTTTTCATAGGAAGTAAATAGATTTTTTAAAAAAACATTTATAACTAAGTCTTTGAATTTGACTGAGTTCACCAGTTAATTACAACTGCCCGTACCCATGTACAACTCCCAAGTATTACAACTATTACAATTCTTTGTTCAGTACCCAAGTGTTGCATTGTCTTTCTATCTGCGTGTCACAATATACTGCAGAAATGCAAAATGATGAGATGAGTACGAACACACAAGTATTAAGGAGGTTCTTTAGTACTATACAAATGGGGTCAGGGTTAGATTTAACATGCAACATGACTAGATTTGAGAATTTCTGACACAGTATCTACAACCGGCCATTGTAAAACTCCAGTGTGCCAAGGTAACAAGCCTATAAAAATGCAAGTCACCTCATCTCTCAATTATGTTCATTTATTAAGTTACATTTATCCAGCAAGTGATTAAAATACATTTCTATAAATTACTGCCCACTGTTCTTAGAGTTGGGGTTCAATCAACCTACCTATACATTTCAATGTACATCTGTTTGTATGGTTTTTGAGGAAAAATGAAGAATGATCTATTGCTCTACAAGCTACATAACTTTTTGTCTGCCCTTTGTCAGAGAAGGGACAGAAACCACAAAACAAGCATCAGGTGTGTCTTGACTACCTTGTCTTTGTTGGTTGCAGATCTCCTCAAAGGATACCCTGAGGATTGTTATCAATCACTCTGAAAACATCTTTCTGCATACTAAGTATACATTAAACTGCACAATCAACTTGTGTATTAGGTCAATAAGATTGTAACAACTTAAAAAATGAGGCCATGACTTGCTCAAGGCTACTGAGAATTTTCATTCCCAAACAGGAACTGGAACTTGGGACTCATTGCTGAAGCACAACCAATCTAATACAACCCACCAACCCATATTGATTTCAGGAGAATCTCCCCATACTACTGTATTTGCTCTGAGAAAAAGAGAATACCTTACCCACAGTACCAATGTGGTTTTAAATTTAGTGCTTCGTGGCTGCAGTTAAAGAATGTCAGGAGAGAGACTAGATTGGAAATTATAGAAAGGCATCTAAATCCATTAATTCCCCCCCCCAGCGCGCTTACTTTTGTGCACTAGAACAGTTCAGCCATAATAGACAATAAGCAGAGATGCGTAAGCAGCTGCGTATAGAAAAAGATGAATGAAGTGCATGACGTTAAAGATCTGTGAACTGAGGAGTTTAATGCATGAATTGAAATCCAAAGTAACCACCTCCCCCTACTCCAAACTACACACTGCAAAGCATAAAACAGAGAAGATAGGTAGAAGGGGAAATGTGGTCTCTACCACATTTACAAAAACTGATGGCCTGTCACCCAGACACTGATGAATATTTTTACAGGATAAAAATGGCAACCTAAAGTCTAAAAATAGA